CGGCTCAAGGTCACTCGTGCGTTCGCATCCCTTGGGACTCTATTGTAGAACTTTGCCGATATTTTATTGAACCACATGTGAATTGAATTGGTTGTCGATGTCCGTATACTGTTATAGTTTGACTTCTTATCTAAGAGCTGCATTATCTCGGCATCACTGAATGAAGTATTCTCAGGTGAAACTTTATCTGTTGATAACCAATGGAATATCTTCTGATGGTTGATAGACCCAGCATAAAATAGTATATCATCCTTTCTCACAAATCGTGTGATTTATCTTGTGATGGGGTTACTATGTAAGCGTATCATTTCTCACGCATATTGTGATTTAGAGTGTGACCAATTCATCTTCTTTTGTCTCACCTTGATCTTTGTCTGATCACCAACTTATCAGGATAGATATATCCAAACAATAAGAACAATACAGTCTCACGGTCGTCAGTCCACTTTATTATGGGGTTAAGAAAATGTATATCATGTGTTGTTTCTTAAACTATATAGTATAGTATAATACAAATATCATACAGTCACAGGCCAGTCTTTGTCTTTTGATATTTGCGTGGCTCAGTGAATCGGAAGATGCAACGGCCAAGTAGACACATTAGCGTACCAGTCGAGTTCATTACCGTTATAGTAATAACAGGTGCAGATATAACAAAGTAGCAACGGATTTCAAATAAACTGTCGTCAAGATTTGACAGAATAGTTCTAAAATATTTGGGCAATAAGTCCGACAGGGTGCTTCTACTAAACTCTAATCCTAAACACCATTATTTTGAAAATACGTCTATTCATAAAATTCTAGATACTAACAGTTTGAACAGACATGAAGGCGTGATGTTAGCTGATGCATAGGAAATCCTTATTAATAAATAAAAAATGGATATGTATCACTAATTATTAATACTTGGTCAAAATTCTCGACTGTCCATATCTTCTTATGGAGACATTAAGAAATGTTTTACAACTGTTTACCCACACACACATACATACTCTGTTTAAAGTGTTTAACAAAGGTAGACCAATATTTGTAAGTCCGAGGTCAAATTTTGATCACAGCTCATAAAATTTTGTTTATTATCTTGTTGACACTTGTTGAATGACTCATGATTGGAGAAAGTTTTTAAAAACAAGTGATGTTCCTTTTATATATAAACCTCTGTTATGTTAATTTCGATTAATTTCCCTGAAGAAGTTCGGACCAGATTGGCGAACGAAACGTTGGAATTACTCATTTCAATCTCGCTGAGATTTTACAAATATCATTTTTTTACAAATGTCTAGCAACGGATTTATTCAGTTCAGTCATAACAATGGCAAACAGTAACAAGTGAACTAACAACTATCATTATGTTTAATAGATAAAAAATAAATAAATAAATATGAAATACATTGTAGTTGTTTAATCTAGTTATATTCTTACCTTAGCTTGCTCATCAGCTTCACGTTTTTGTTGAACAATAACTACTAAGTAATCATCGCATTCTTTTTGAAAAGCTGCTACCTTCTTTCGAGCTTCTTCTAATTCCACAGACATTACTGGAAAAGCAGGGGATAAAATTCATACGCATGTAATAAAAAATATGATTTCACTGGAAACAGACGAGTAATAATAAGAATTCTCAAGACTTCATTCTTTATTTCGCCTATGTGTTTTCCGACTGATACATTTACCTTGTGTTTATTATTATTATTCACTTTTTCTCTAGGAAGTTATTCAATGAAAATTTCTCTTCAGTTTTCCAAAAATTCGGATATATTTTGCCTTCTATTCCTCTAAATTTGCAGTTCGAGAAAAATCGATTAAGGAGATCTAGAATCATTTCTAATATTGTGCACAGATCAGGATAGCATATGAAGTTCTCAAAGATTTCTTTAGCTAAGCATAGATTGATACAAGTTGACTATGACGAACAGTACACCCTCAGAGTGACATGTTGACAATGATGTAACAAATGAAGGTGAGATGAAAATTAGGTCTCCAGCAGGATTAGAACTATTTTGTCATTACTTTTATTTGATTTTTCGTTAATAAACTGCTGAATTAAACCCTGCTTGAAAGAACGACGGAATAGTCTCAACCAATGTCTCTAACATTATTTGATTTGACTTAGACTTTGCCGTTGATTAGTTGGACCGACATGTCAAAAGAGGCCAAACAGATAACGAATATCTGTTACACAAGAGGTGAATTTCGTGGCCCAGTTAGTTTAGTGGATAAAATTTTGGCGCTTGAAACGATGAGTACTGGTCTTTCACCTCAGTGGGAATACCATCACTCACTGGGGAATGAAGGTACATCCAGATGACGAGTCCAAAATACGATAAGACTTGCATCCTGGATTACATTGCTAGTCACCATCCACCAAATTACTTCAATCTCTCTAACAGATCACAGTTTGTTTTAATTGGTCAGTGGATTGTAAACGATGTCATGTGTCTAGTTCTTGGGTTGGTACAGACTGTTGTCTATCAGTCAAGTTTGTAATGTGATCACCATGCTAGGTGAATCACCATTGCAATGTTAGATGATTGGAGGCAATCAGAAAATAATAATGTGTGAAAATCGTAGGCATTGTGAAATTTATCCACTTATGATTATCATATCTTTTATACTTGTTAACACACACACTGACAAGTTACTTTTTTATTTTGGTAACTTCGCTCAAAATATTACTGAAATAAAAAAGTGTATTTTTGTTTGCAAAGAATCGTTAAAATATAATAAATCATAATAAACATTAGTGTAGGATGCCACACACTACTGAATGATTAGTGCGAGTAGTTGTATACCACTCACCACTCAACCAGTAATGCATGTCAGTCGGATTGAAGCGATCCAAACAGCAGGTCGAAGTTCCACTCGTTTGGAGAAGAGCTTATCAATAATGTAGCAGGTTTCACGCAGCTCAGAGAGCAGAATCAGTGGAAACCATCCAAATTCTAGGTAGTTACTTCGGCAAACCGGTTATACCCTAGATCGAATTCACAATTTACACATTTCTAGGTGAAATAGCGCCACAGTTTCCTTAAGAAAACGAAATTATTCAGATCACAATGTGTAATCTGCTTGATATTATAAATGGCAATCAAAAAAAGCAAGTACAAATGCATGACTCTACATACACTTGATTGATTCATAAGAGTAGTTGATCACCAATCACATCAATCAGTAAAACTGAGAATTAGATTTCGTGTATTACCAGTTCATCCGAAGTAGTTAGGCAGAATTGGAGTGATTTTAGATGATTTGACTTTCTGAGCTGAACCAAACCGGTTACACCGTTGATGAGCTCGTCTCTGAACGAGAGAAACTCCCATCCGGTGTTTAGATCACTTCGATCTATCTGGCAAGCACTACTGGTTGATGTGAATGGTATACAACTACTCGTACAAATCAATTAGTAGTATATAGCGTCATACATTTATGCTTACTCCCTTGAGTGCCTGCCATTTATTTATTTCACCCCGAAATGTACAAACTGCAAATCCCCAATTAATTTGCGAATATCGAATATGCTTTTTAATAAAGATGCTATCGTTATTATTAACATGATTGTTGTTCCCTTGGGTTCCAAGTGAATATAAGGATTCAACAGCACGTATCCACTTTGCCCTACTTTTTGAGGTCCTCTTTAGCTAAACCCACGGATGCCCACAGTCTCTGATCTCCTCCTCGCACGATCTCTAAAATATCACCACTCGTCGTTTCACACTCGGGTTCCACTCGAGGGCCTGGCATGCGATGTCACCCAACGGTCTCTTCAGTGTGTGCTCTATCCATCTCCATTTTCTTCAGAACATTTGTTAGACAACAGGTTCTTGATTTCTTCGTTCCCAGAGTTTCTTCCTGCTAATTCTTTCTTGATGACCATCTGATCTTCAATATGCAGCCTGTTCTAAATGTTTTTCGTAACACGCCAAGTTTCTAAATGATATGGAGGAACCGATTTACTTAACATTGGAATCTTGTTCTTTGTGCTGAGTTGGTGCATAATATTTCCAAATTGATTTCAGAGTGATGGAGGCGTACACCTTGCCTTTCCGACCCTACCTGGCTTTGAAATCTTCATCCGTTCCGCCGACCTGTCGTTGAAACGATGCTGCCTAGATAGGGGAAGAGAGTAACCTCTTTCAAATTTCTCCCGGCGCTAGTTATTGGTACTTGTTGTTGTCGGTTAGTTATCTTTATCGCCTCCATCTTCTTCTCTATGTTCACTTGAAGTCCTGTCTTTGCTGCCTGCCAACCTCTTCGGTCAGTTTGTTGGTTTTTGCCAGTAGGTTTTATCGAGTTTGTATGACATTAAACATAAATCATCTACACGCGAAATCCAGATCTTCTAGAGCCTTTCTATCGGTTCAGCGTAGTAGTGGTAGTAGTCTAAGTACTGCTGTGTTTAATTACTTCAGTTACTTTACAAAAGAAAAGAAAATCGTTCCATCAAAATCTCTATAATGTTATAGATTACACTAGAACTTAATTCATATGAATTCAGCAGAAAAAAATGTTCCACTCATGTAATATTAAAACTGACTACAATGATTATTATGACTCGTGTAATTACCTTCAACTTTTTTACGTGTTTCATCAATTTTACCAAGACCATTTGCTAACTTATTCGCCTTGTCACTCAATTCTTGACGTTTCTGATAAAGAAGACTGTTGAAAATATTTTATCAGATTAAAGAGAGAGAAAAAAAACAGGAAAAAACGAAATGTTTAGTTGATAATGTTAGGAAAGAAAGACAGTTTCTTTTTCTGACTAAAATTAGTGTTTAACTGTTTCAACTGTTATGAATACAACCGATTACGTAATAAATAAATAAATCAACCCTACGTCATTCTTCAATTTTTACTTGGGACAACTAAAAAAAATCTGGTTAGTTTATCAATCATTGGAACAGATTAAAACTTTAAGATTTCAACACCACTGTGATACCAACGAATTGATTCTCTATGGTCTATGAAGAACATGGCACTGTCTTTTGTAGTCTTAGTCTGTAAATTTGGTTTTGATGCTTTCATAAAACACGCTATAATTACGACGTCAGAACTAATTGACATCAATAAATGTACAGGTAAGCGAAACTAATTATGCTAGCATTAGAGAATTTATATATATATATATATATATATATATATATCTGATGCTCGCTAGTGACTTGCTACAGGATGGAGTTTCGTGGAATTCTAGTGAGAAGTCGTGACCAGTGAGGTTCAACCAGATGTCACGTGTGAGGATGGATGTCCCACCAACGACATTGGTTGAGGTTGCATTAAATCACGAATTGGTAGAAGTTAGAATTCATGAGCCATTGAATCGAGTCCTAGTGGCTGAATGGTATACGAGCTTGCTTGCTTGCAACCGGAAGGTTCTGAGTTCGAACCCCATGTAGTGGGTGTGTACTGCCGATGATTCCAAAACTAGGATGAAACAGCTGTCCAGTACTCCCCGGTTTTCAATGGTTCTCTAATTATGATGATTCTGTTAGTTGGAATATATTTTTCTGAACGATACAAGATTTCAGATGGATACGACATTGAACACGTAGACTTCAGACTTGAAATGGTAAACTTCACTATCTCGTTACTAGATTTCTTCAAATCTAATACTAAGATAAGCAGTAGTAGGCTATTAAAGATTAAGGACTTGAGAATTATCAACATATTTACTATGCATACTGGTCAATTCAATTCCATTGTGGATAAATGATATTAGGAACAGTGAAGTTAAACTTCGGATACCCGACAGGAGTTAACGCACCGATGACCTTAGGACACTTAGCCATGGTAAGTAAGCATTGAAACCAGATGAATAACACTGTAACAGCAGAAGGCAAGACACGAAAGCCAAGGTGTATTTTTCATTGATCAAACCGCTGTTTACATATCTACGGTTTATATTCGTTAACCAGTCATTGAGTATGTGTGTAAGATCAATTCAATTCCTTTTCTTGAATCAAGTCAGCCTGTCCCGGATCAGCCTAGCATTGCTGCAACACAATTATCCATGCCTAACATGTCTATCCCACCTTGTTTAATGAACTGTGTATGTGTGTTTTTACTTCGAACCGTTTAGTCAGACAGTTGAACTCATGACCCAATCAGAGTATTTTTGTGAACTGTCATTTTGCTGACCCATGTCTTACTTTGTACTATTCTGTTGATTTTATCTTATTTATTGATTGGTTAAGTAGCCAATTAAATTCTATCTTTGTGCCTATGCTTTGTCTATCTCTTACTCGGGTTCATTGTTCTACTGACTGCTTACCTGAACGGTCGTGTCTGATCCGGCTAGTTCGTAATTTTGGCTTTAACGTTATTCCGCTCTGATAGCGGTTCCTTGCTTTCTGTTAAGCATTGTGTATTGTACTCTTGAAACCGTTAAGGTTCGTTGTATATATATTTATTGATTTGTTTATTAATAGTACCGTAGAAACAGTGACCGGCTTCTTGTTTGTTCTGGACCGGGATAGCCTCTATCTACGCGTGACTTAATTTCAAGCGATATTGCGCTTACAATGTGATTTCAGTTTACATCAAACAACATTAAATAGAATGTTCAAATATACATAGTATTCTGTTGCTAATCCCGTAATGAACTGTAGGAATATGTGGGAATCATATTCCGTTGGAACACACTGTCTGTATCACACCACCACAACACTATATTCATGAAAATAGTATTGAATTGAGGATAATGATCTGAAACAGGATATCTAGTTATGGTTTGGCTAGGGAGAGATTAAGCTTAGGTTTAGGCCAGGAAAAGTTGAGGGTAATGTTAACCCAATGAGGGAGATATTAGGGTTGTTTAAGGGTAGATTAGATCAGGGTTAGATATAGATTTTGGTTAGGATAAGGAAAAATTGAGTTTAAAGTTGAATTAGGGGTCGAAATTTATTTTTTAGTGCAATTGTCCATTCTTAAGTCATTGGTACGTATGCGCGTGTTGGGTGTCTGAAACTAACAACCAACAGGATTATGTCACTATTTTCATAACAAGCATACAATTACAGGGCTGAATTGCACTATTGAAGAATTGTCTTGAAAGAATTGTCTAATTTAATCTTGTCATCATTTTGTAGATTTACTTTAGCCTTCTTACATGTAGTAACTTCAATTATTTAAAATTGTTAGTCGGCTTAATAAATTTGGACAGCATTATTAAAGGACAGAGTTCATTTGAAAAATCTACTGTATGTGCTATAAACACATTTGGCAGTCCAATATACATGAAGAAAGAAAAAAATGAAAAGCCAAATACATTAAACAAAATAATAAAGGGAGATCTTGGGTTGGAACCGCAGTGGATAAGTACTGGCGAAGAGTCCAAAACTAGGATGAAACAGCCGCCCGGTATTTCCTAGTTCTTAACGGTGCCCTAACTGATATCAATCCGTTATCACACCTGCTTCCAAAGCCTCAGGATGGTCGGGGGTGGGTGCCTTGCGCTGCGGGTTGGCCACCCCTCTGCACACCTCTTGAAATGCTCCCATATGACCGGGCGTCTTACATAGCCTCTCCTGAGGAAGTCCTACTCACTGCCTTCACGTGGCGGAGGTGTTTTTCACCAAAGTGAGAGGGCGAAAGCGGATGCCCGGCGCTCTTCACCGGGTTGACTGTCCATTGGATGACAGTCTAGGGGAGATGGCTAAACCCTGATTCCATACCTCCAACGACTGGCGTATGGAGCTCACTGGAGCTCACCGGCAGACGTATGGACAAAGGGCTTGTTGGATGTCCTGGATGTCTGGCCCCATTCAAAAAGGCGTATGAACCGAACTCCGGTCACCGGCTACCAATGGATAGTGGACTCCCTACTCCACTCCTACTGCCTTGTAGGTCACACTTGGTTGTGTAAAGGCTAGAGCTGCACTCTCAAACAAAAGGCCGAGCGATTCTGGGGACATCACTCGTACCAAATTCCCATGAAACTTCATGAACTCTCTTCATCAGATCGCCGCGCCTGGGCAGTGATAATTCAAGATGTTCATGAAGCCGGCTCATCCTCCCGTAGGAGATAGCCGATTTTAAAAAAAAAATTTAAAAAAATAAAAAAAAAGTTATCACACCTGGAACAAATCAAATCCCTACAGACTAACTTTTGAAAATATTAAGCGGTAGGTTGGCGATTGACACCAGTCTTAGTAACATTATCAGATAGGTATTAGCAAAAATTACGCGTCAGACAACGCGTATATTTCCCTCACTCGATCAATACTGGGACGCCTACTCACCTGTAGGCAACTTACACGTCGCCTGATTGATATATTCCAACTTGTTCGGATCAGAGCTAATCAAATGATGGATGCCTCTACCACGACCAGACAGCCCCCTTCATCGTGATAATAGAAACAACTTATTGTCACCCTTACCCTACGGCAACTTTGTTTGATTATATTACTGAGATCAATATCAATTGTTATCCTCCCCCTCCCCTTTAATGTTTTGATTAATTTCATTGATTTCCAATCTCTTCACTTATCATAAAAATTGAATTGACAGATAAATGTGTGATCAGGTTATCATGAATGTATTGGATAAATATATCATATTTTTCAAATAAACTCCCTCTTTGTTTAGCCAATGAGGGATGACTAGTGAACTACATTGTGAAAATTGACATCCACCAAGATGGAATAAAAATATCTCATCCAATCCAGACTTTCTTTCTCACCCTTTCTCGAATCTTATTGGTCGAATTTTTATTCTATTCGTAGGTGTGAGATAGTTTCCCATTGGATTATAGTAAAGTCACTCAGTGTATAAGCGTACCAATCTACGCAAGTAATATAACTAAAAAGTGCTTGCAAAGTTCAGAACATAACATGTATCATTTATAAATGAAGTAAAAAAAAGTGTAATTCTCCAAGTGAGCACTACTATTATGTTGATTGTATTCAAACAGATGTTTGTTTGTAAGGATTTGATTGATTTCAAGTTTGATCATGAACTGAGTTCAATTAGAGAAACAATAAAAGCCAGGGAGTAATGGACAACAGTTTCGTCCAGATTTTTGAGCTTCAATTTTCAATTTTTGAGACATATCATTTTCAGTCATTGGTTTTGTAGGGATTTTTTTGTTTGATTGGTTGAGCTGACATCAGTTAGAGAACCGTTGGAAAACCACCTGGGAATACTGGACAGCTGTTTCGTCAGCCTAGTTTGGAACTCTTCATCAGTATGTACCCACCGGGACTGGAACCCAGGGCCTTCTGGTTACAAAGCGAGCTCACAGACCACTCCCCAACCACTGGGACCCTATCCAATGGCCCGTGAACTCTAACTCCTGCCGATTCACGACATAGCACGCCCACTTCGCAATGTCTTCTTCTGTGTGTGCGTACTGGTGAAGAGTCCCAAACTAGGACGAAACAGCTGTCCAGCACCCCCAGGTTTTCCATTGGTTCTCTAACATATATCATTTTATTAGATTTACTGAAAAACACTACTTGATTGAATACACTTTGGGCAACTGCTTGAAGCTGTTACAGTCTAGAAATAAACCTTGTACATTTGAATCTGCTTTAATGTTGAATGATTAACTTTTTCTGTCAAACAGATGAAGTATACTACTTATATGAAGCTAGACATGAGTAATCATTATTCTTTATCTGTACTTGAAAAGTTAAAATTGCAAATAGTATCAAATACTTACTAATAACTATAAGCTTGTAACTTTATTCTTTCACTACTTAAGAATTCAACAGTGTAATCACTACTGTCAACTATAAGATCAAATTAAATCATTAAAATATTTAGCTAATTGTTGACAGTTGCATAAATCCTGTCAATGATCCATTTCTGCTGTGAATTTTCCTTCTGACAGTACAATTGAGCACGAAATAAAGGCTCTGAAGGATATTTTATCTAAGAATGGATATCCTGAGAAGTTCATTAATAAATACTCTAAAGAAATGAGTCCTTGCAAAACTATCCAAACAGTTCCAAAGAAATCTGTCTATATCAATTTGCCATTCAAAGGTGATGATGTACAAGAGGTAGTCAAACGAAGACTCGATAAAGCTATCAAGAGAACTTATTATGCTGCAAAACTTGTCTTCCTTAACAATCTGGGAAAGACCAGTCGCCAATCCTCGACACTTCAAACTGCGTATATCAATTTGAGTGTGTTTGTGGAAGCAAATACATAGGTCGTACAGAAAGGCGACTGTCTACTCGCATGATGGAGCATTTGCCGAAGTGGTTGAAAACAGTTGAATTCAAAGTGCCAAAAAGCTCAATAACAAAACATTTTGTGGATTACAGACATGATATCAACGCTGTCAAGTCATTCACTATTGTCAGCAGACAAACAAACAGGAAGATGATTGCAATTGCGAAGGCTTGTGCAATTCAAGTTTATAAACCAGGTCTGTGTGTACAAAAGGAGATGGTCATCACTCTGAATCTACCATGGTGATATGTTTTACTTGTTAACTGTTATTATAATTATTATAAATATTTTATTCTACCTTATTGTTACTGATTCATTTAAAACTATCTTTTATCAGTAGCATTATCTTAGCTCACTTTATTATTATTATTATTATTACTCAGTTCGCAATTCTTGATATATTCTCTAATGACGAATTGTTTATCTAATTTATGTTATTGTAGAGTAGAGCATTTTATCTTAATTTTAACCTCTCATACTCCCTTCCCCTTATCTATTTGGACATGACCTGGAAAACATCCGCACGTGTCGTTCTGCATGATTAATTCAATGTAGTTTATTTGCTTATCAGTCCTATATGTCCCAATGTATTTTCAATAGTATATATATCCCCGTATGTAGAGTATTCAGCTGACGACTTCTACCGAAATTTGATGAATTCATTAAATCCTGCTTTATTAACCTTTGTTGCTGGACGTCCCCTTCGAATCAGAATCCAGGATCACAAATTAGATGTGAAAAGACATGATATATATTCTTTCATATCAATGCATGTAGATAATTATGGACATCAATTTGGTGATTGGGAGAATGTAGAAATTTTAAACAGAGAAAAATTCCTAGAAGCCTGATACTCAAACGAATATGCGATTAACAAACATGTTAAATAGACCAAATCTACCAACTAATAAAAAGTGAATCATGGGACGAGAAAGTTTAAAATCCAAGTCAATAAAAAATGATCAATACAGATGTAAAGATGGTTACCAGGAGACGCAATTCTATCATTCATGGAGAATTTAAATCAGTTCACTTTATGCTAAAAATTGCGCTGAAGATGTAGTCCAGAAGGACGACGAAAGCTTCGCAACTAAACCAACCAGCTCAGAGAACACTACTAATTGCAAATCATCCACCTGAGCTACAAATCTTCTCTATTATTTTAGCTAACTGTTGAAAGCTGCATAAATCCCGTCAGTGATCTATTTCTACTGTGAATTTTAGCACTATTTTGTAACAAAGATTGTGGTGAGAGCTGGTTGCTAGCCAAAGTTGGTAGACAGTAATTGACGTCAATGTTTATGTCCCCAATATTGGTCGTGAGAAAAGGAGAACAAAGGCTCTGCGTAGACGGATACAGTTAGCATATGGATGATCTGACACAGCCACAAAGAGATGCAAGATTAACTTTCAGTGAGAAACAACCAATCAAAAGACTGTATTTTCTACTAACAATAATCTACAATAATGTACATTAAAATCTATAAATATGTGTTGATTTTCCTTAATAAAGGATCTGTCGCCTGGCCCTTGTCTTCTGTTGTTACAAGATTTCCTGCTTCAAGTAAGCCAACATTGTATCATCTAATATACATGAGAAGTAGACTAGAAGCAAAAGATCTCGGATATTCATGTAAAGTCATTATAGTCTCCGTATATTCATATATGCAGATACATAGTCTTTACCAATATACAGACAAATTCACGACTTCACAGGAGACTAACTGATTATTACATATACAAGAATAACAATAAAAGAAATATACTGGTGAATGCTTAAAAAACAAACAAACAAACAAACAAGAACTTACACTTTATAACCAGAGACAAGTTCTAAATAATTTGTTGGCGTAATATAATTATGACGTTTCAATTCACTTAGCATAACTACTGCCATATCAGTGACTGATCGATGCATATTAGCGAATATTTTTGCCACTGAAATTCTCATTCTAGCCTATGATACATTAAAGAAAAAGAAAGTATGCTGAAATAATGATAGAAAATATGAAAAGATCCAAACTAATATCCCAGTTGGCCGAAAATAGGCACGATTTCGGGCATATAATAAGATCAGTAATACAGAGGGTGAATTCTGGTTAAATAATGGTCAAAATGGCAAAATATTCCTTCAGTAGTGGTTAAAATGGGAAAGTAGTGGTTAGATAATGGGGAAATATTAGTTAAATCACGGAAAGGTATTGGTTAAATATTGGTCAAATTGGAAAAATTATTTCATATCGTTGCATGTGCTACTGACAAGATTTATCAGTAGTAAATAAAGAGACGTTCGCCGGCATAAAAATATCAAATAGTGGAGTAATAGATTTGATGTCAAAGAAAGCAATTGATTCAGCGTTACGGCAAAACATGGTAAACACGAAAATAAGACAAAGACACACAATACGAAGGGCAGAAATAGCACAACAAGGAAGATCTGCGCAAATGACGATTCGCGGATAAGGTGTATATTTTTTATTTTTATTATTTTTATTACAGCTTGATTCCACACCATATTTTCAGCATGGATATCGGTAGCCCAAATTTACAGGCCGACCATAGATATTAAATTCCAAATACACATTCCTTTATCAAGTCTCTTGTCTTCTACCGTCACATCATAACCAAAATTTGCCCATTTTTTCCTACTACTAGCCATGCCCATTATTTGACCATTATTCACCCAGCTGTTTAACCATTTCTCCCTATTGGGATGTGACAAATTCATATAAAAATTGAAATAAATAATACTATTACAGAATATTTTCAAACTTCTGATGGTTATTTTTAAGTTAAGTACTATAATTATAATTGTAACAATCGACCTACCTGTTTCTTGACCAAAATTTGTGGCTAAAATAAATAAATATAGAAAAAAACAATTTTTTCATCATAAACGAGATTTTTTAAACTAAGTGTATTATGTATTGTAATACTGGAAGAACAATAATAATAATAATACCTTTATTATAGACAATATGTTAACACTTTGATTGGACACTAGTAACTAGTGTGATGTGTCTAGTCTTTTGTTTGGTGCAGATTGAATTTTATCAGTCGGGTTTGCAATGTGGCCATCATTCTAGGTAGCTCACCATCACAGTGCACATTGATTTGATGATATTAGATAGTTGGGGGCGACCGGCAGGAAGCCCAGGCAGGTTTCGTGCTAGTTGGCACTCGTCAACAAGGCGTGTCTTCAACCTTGAATAGCTCAGTGGTAACGTCTCTGACTGAAGATGGCACTGGGTGATGCGGGTTCGAATCCCAGAAGGGACATGAGTTCCTTCAAGGTTGCAGATACGCCTTGCTGACTAGTGAGTCACAATATGAATATTCACATAGTAACTCCATCACACGATTCGTGAGAAAGGATGATATACTATTTTATGCTGGGTCTTATCAGAAAGAAAGTTCACTAGGATATAAAGTGTTACAAAACTACCAACTGTAAAATAATCATCATGTAGATATAAGAATAGAACTTGTGCACTGTGGTAGAGTATAATTCCATTGTGGGTAAAATTTATTTTGATAAAGTCTCAGAGTGTTATACAGTAAGTAATATTTACTGATGACGTTTCGAGCATAATTTATTGCTCATGTTGCATTGAAAGGTGAAGTGAGGGAGCAGTTGAAGGGAGAGAACGGTACTAACATATATAGGATACATTCATTGCATACGAAATGTAATAGTAAAGAAAAAGTCAAAAAAACAACAACTTACATCTGGTTCATTAATATTAATATCAACAGAAGACAAGTATTTCTCAGCTACTTCTAATAAAGCTTCAAGTGGCCATTCACTAAACCAATCAATTGTAGTACAATTAACAAATGCTGGAAACATTCGAATACGATTACGAAATGGTTCACCAATTGGACTCATGCATAAAATAATATGCAAGTTAGCTCGTACACGTTCAATGAAGAAACGGAATATTGACTATATGAAAGGTGGATAAATCAAAAGGGGATAATTAATAATTGTTAAAAATTTTGCCTAGTAGACAAGCAGTGTGAAAGTAATGTATATTCATTGGTTCATATAAAAAACAGCAGTCCACTAGGATATTTATTGCCATGTGGTGAGGTAGGAGATGAGATAGTCTAGCTGAAAATGTCATAATACTGCAGATACAGTTATCTTGTAATTTCTCCTCAATTCCCAAATCCTAACTCATTTCTCTTCCCATTTATCAATGTTGTGATCTTAGTTCAATGTTTACTTTGTTCTCACAGTAATTTTTCTTTTTGTACTGTTTATAGCTGGTAATGCTAACGTACAGCAGTTTTATTGATATAAGAATAGAATTTGTGCACTGTGTTATACAGTAATATTTACTGATGACAACGTTTCGAGCACAATTTATACACTGCTCATAATCATATCAAGGTACTTACACAACTTTCATACTTCGTTTATATGGTTCCACAAATTCTCATCTCTTCACTTGATTAGCAGTAGTATTTCCCATATTCCTGGTATGAGGGATGAGTCATTCGTATTGCACATGTTGGGTGTAGATTCGATGAACCAGGGATTCAGCAATCAATCTCTCTCTTCACCTGCCTATTTAACTTCTTAGAATTTTGACTCTGTCCCACCCTATTGTGTGGTTGTGTGTTAATGCGTGAAGTGCAATAGCTGAGCTTTTTTTTTAAAATTACTTATCTTCGCTCGGTCAATCATTCTAACCTTCCCTAAATCCTTATGTTCTGACAATCTGACTATCGCCGATCTACTACTTTGACCTATGTAGTTGACCTCACTCGCAGTCATTGCAAGGTATTTTGTAAATTATATTATTTTGTTTACTTGTGTCAACTGGGTCCTTTAGTCTACAGAGCTTGTCCTGCCTGAGTGAGTTTGTGGGTTTAAATGTCACCCTAATTCTTACTTTGTTAAGAATCTTACGTAGAGCCTCAGATGTCCCCTCCTTCTATTGTAAAACTGTAGATGCCTTATATTTATTCTCAACATCACTCTGTTTTTGTAACCAAATGATTCGGTCAGGTAAAGAGGTTATAATATTATCAAAAAATTGGCACTAGTTTTAAACAACTGACTTTTAGATCCAGACCACACTGCTCATCAACAGTCTTCCAGTCAATATACCCTCATGATGTACATTTGATTGCAGAATGCATAAATGGTAAAAAAATTTTCCATTCAAGTCATAACCAAATTCCTTATAAAATTCAATACACACTTTACTTTGTAATAATATATTTTCGTATGAGGTGATTGCAGCTTTTGAATAATAATAATAACTTTATTCCAAACAATACTTTTTGGTACGAATATGGAATTTTCAACATGTAGTACAGTATTGCATCTAATTTTCTCATTACATAATACAGGGGTAATAATTAAACAGGGCCATTAAATTGATAATGTGTGCGTCGGTGGCACAGCGGTAGAATGCTCGCCAACCACGCCTCATGTGGTCCGGGGTTCGATCCCCGGCCACCGACGCACTCCTTTACCTAGCTAAGCCAGTAATAAGACTGGTAAAGAGGAAAGGTTGGGCATGAGGCTACCAACCCCATCCTGTAAAAATAAATACCACTGCTACTGAAACTTCAAAGCTCTAGCTTGAAGCCCTTTGTTCCACTGGGAAAGTAAAGGAATAAAATAAAAAATATTAATAATAAAACATTGATAATATTATCAAATAAGAATATGATTATAAGATTAAAATTTAAGTGGAAATATGAACAACAATATAATAATGAAAGAAGGAATAGAAAGTTCTGTTTACTTAATGTTTCTCAGTAAGTTGTAGTGTCATGTCTTACACTTTTTTCCTGACATAAAATGTGTACCAAATAAGGTATTCTAGAGTTTTTATACTTAGTTGTCTATAGTTGCTTCTAGTTCTACTTAATGAGATGCAGGGAGAGAGGATGTTCAGGGTGCGACAAGATTATATTCAGTAATTCCTGGCATGGGTCCATGTGTCTATCTACAACAGTATTAAGAAGACAAGGGCCAGGAAACAGATCGTTTATTGAGAAAATCAACAGATATTTATAGATTTTTATGTACATTATTATTAGCATTATTGTTAGCAGAGAAGCAACGTCTTCTGATTGGTTGTTTTCCTGCTGAAGGTTATTCTGTCATCTCTTTTTTGCCGTTTCTTCCGACAGTCCTGTGATATATTTGCACATCGTACTCGCCCACGAAAAGTCTGCTGTGATTGGTTGTTGAGTTCCTCAAAGTTAGACTTTGTTCTTGTTTTTTCTCATGACCCCGATTTGGGACGTAAACATTGACGTAAATTGGTATCTACAAATTTGGCTAGAAGACAGCTCTCACCACAGATTTAGCGACATCCCACTCACCCTACTGACAGCTTACAGAGCCCTTCGCGGTGTAACAAAGTCTTTCTTAAGTAGTTCGGGAAAGATTTCTTTTTCCTTCACGTTCCCCAGTGGAACATAGGGCTTCAGGCTAATGGCTTGAAGTTTCTGTAGCATTTTATTTACAGGATGGGGTTGCTAGCCAACCTTTCCTCTTCACCAGAATTATTTCTGGCTTAGTGAGGTAAAGGAGTGCGTCGGTGGCCGGGGATCGAACCCCGGACCATGTGATGGTCGGCGAGCGTGCTAACCGCTATGCCACCGACGCACTGGGAAAGATTAAGGAGGATCAATAAAGAAGCATAGGTAAAATACAAGAATTAACAAACTATAAACGTAGAGACTGAGTGATATCAGACTGTCTTGACTTCCTTACGTAGAATGTTAGACGAAATATCTTTCTAGAAATCAACATGATGAGAGAAACCAGGAAAGATTGGAGAAAATACACAATCCAAGGTATTTAATATTAGACTTAGTTTGAACTTTAGAGTCATCTATGATAGTAGAATCATGCGAATGAATCAGTGAACGTGGAATCATGAATTTTGAAATGTTGCTTAAATAAGTTTATTACTTGACTTATACTAAGACTTTCTATTTTATCAGGGTATCAATAGAATTAGCGATAAATTGATCACCATAAACTGTTTTCAAATTCGAACTTACTTGAGTTGATTCATCAACACCTTCTTGTTTAGCAACATCTATCAACTCCTGTCGAACTTCTTCAAATTCATCTGGTTTGTATAAAATAGGTACTTCACCAGAACTTAGCATATTATTAATATCTTCTAAAAATGATTCATCTAATACTTGTGCATCAGTGAATAAAAATACAGTCGGTTTATTTTCTACACCAGCTTGGAAGTACATTTTCTTTAAATCTATTAAAAATGTAAAGTAGAAAGATAAAAAAAATAGGTTCATCTCAGACAACGACTTGTGACTAAAATCACACTACTAAGCAGACAGCACCTTCTTTTCTGGACAAATATCAACTTTTGTTCAGTGAAGGAGTCTAAAGAGATACCATTATTGCTATAGGTACACAGATTAGTTATTAAATAATAACAAACTGCATATGCTGGCATAGAGACTGCGGTGAATATACTGACACCGCTATTGCAAAAGGTTTGGAAGGAAGGAAATTTACCTACTACCTGGAAGAAAGGTTATCTTGTGAAACTACCAAACAAGGGTGACTTAGGCCTCTGCAAGAACTGGTGCGGAATCATGCTGTTGTCTACGCCAAGCAAAATCTAAATTGATATCATCCTGGAAAGAATAAAGGCTTCTCTGGATACGGAACTCCACCCAGAACAAGCTGGTTGAAGAAAACATCAGGTTGCAACTCTACGCATCATCATCGGACGAAGCATTGAATAACAGTCAAACATCCCCCCTCAATTTCTTCGACTTTGAAAAGACCTTCGAGAGCGTTGACCGTGAAGTAATTTGGAAGTTACTTCAACATCATGGCGTGCCTAAACTCTTTATCAACCTAATTCAATAGCTATACTGCAGTGCCACGTGTCAGGTGATTCACAACGGAGAACCCAGCAGATCCTCTGAAGTGAAGACAGGAGTAAGACAAGGTTGTCTTTTATCCCTAACGATGATATTCCTAATTGTGGTGGATTGGATAATGCGTCAGACTGTACACAGGGGATGAAAAGACAGGAATGCGTTGCACCGATAAGAAGGCTCTAGAAGATCTGGATTTCGCGTGTGGATGATTTATGTTTAATGTGACACAAACTCGAAGACCTGCAGGTGAAAACCAACAGACTGGCAGAAGAAGCAGCCAGTAAAGACAGGACTGCAGGTGAACATAGGGAAGGTGGAGAGGGGGGTGATGAAAGTAACCAACCAAGCACTACAAAAGGAAGAAATTTGTAAGATATCACTCCCTTCCTTATCCAAGCAGAACCGTTTCAATTGCTGGTGACAGCAAGGATGACGATTTCAAAACTCGAATCGGAAAGGCAAGACAGACCTTCGTCACTCCGAAATCAGTTTGGAAATCTACTGCATTCAGCATAAAAGACAAAATTCGGATTTTCAACATCAATGTTAAGTCAGTCAGTTCATCTATACGGGTCAGAAACTTGCTCTGTGCGTCACGAAAAGCATTTCCAACAGGCCACTGAAAACTTTTATCAACAAATGCCTTCGCTGTCTCCATACTGAAGATTATATGGCCAGCCAGAAAGAATTGTCAACAAGAAACTCATGGGAATGAAGCAACCAAGAACCTATTGCTCAACAAATATGTAGAAAAAAATGGAGATGAATCGGATATACCCTGAAGAGACCATTGAGTGACATGATATGCCAGGCCCTATAGCGTGTAACCCAAATGGGAATAGACCAGTTGAGCATCCAAGGGTCAGGTGGAGAAGAAGGAGGAGGAAATGAAAACTTATGGACAATACTGGCGCCACCTAAGGGAGACTACAGAGAACAGAGTGAAATGGTGGTGTGCTGTAGAAGCCCTATGTTCCTCTCGGAACACAAGAGAATAATAGCATATACTAATGACCAAAATAGGAAGGCTGAGAAAAGACCGGAACCTTCTAATGCTATCTGCCCAAAGTTTTGAGAATTTATAGTTACCTTTTGAAGTGTGGTTTTATCTCTCTCTCTCTCTGTTTCATTCAGTTATGTCAAATTAAATAACGAAATACAGTTTTTATTATATTACCAAGATATGCCTTCTACTAAACTGAGTCAGTCTTCAATTTTCATTTGAAACACTTTTCGCAAATAAGTAGGAAGAGGCAGAGTTTAATTGTTATTTTCCATATTGAAAATATATAACAAATTCAAGTAATGCCTATAGAAAAAGAAGAAAATAACACTTACCTTCTCGAAATTCTTGTTTACGATAGTGTTTTGTTACTTCAACTTGGAATGTTTTATACTCGCATATATAAGCGGCTAAACGACTTAAACTTTGTCGACCACTACCTCCAATACCAATTAACAGCATATTACCTCTTGGCTGATTGATTACGCGAACTATCTTGCATGCTAAATAAAAATTAAAAACAATACTGTTATTGTCATCATGAATACGTAAAAATACACCCACAAACAGATGTCCTTTTTTAAGTTTATTTGTAATTAACTGATTATATACAGAAGGCCAAGTTAAACTTTAAGCATCACTAACTACCAATCAGCGAATGACCTCGAATGATCCAATGAGGTTCATCCACGTGAGTTGAACGTTGTATTCCGCTTGATTCGTGTCAAATGCCTGCTCTAACGAAGTTACGCTTGCAGTTCGATGAGGATAAGGTTTTGCAGTATAGCTTGGATGTGGGGTTGCTTAGGAAGGAAAGGATTTATTCATGTGGAGGTGTCATGAGTTTAAAAAGCTTCAGCAGGTCGATTGATGGATATGTCCATCGTTGTGCAATTTGCTTGAGACAAGTTAGTATTAGGGAAGGTAAGCCGATGATTTCAATATTTCGTAGGAACATTTTTTGCTAGGTCGCATCTCTCTTTGATGTGTATAACTGCCTAACGGCACTGTTGAGTACCACAGATTGTATCACATAAACGTGTTCTCATCATATTATTGGAGTAATTTAGAACTGTGCGTAACTCAGGAAGTTTGGTTGGATATACTGAAGAACGCAACTGAGTTCAGATCACATTATCTCGGTCTTGGTTATTATAATAGTTTCTTTGCATTTTTTCTCTACCTCAATGTGTGTGGTTTTGTAAAGTGTGCCGACTGGAACTGCAAAGTTCCACGTTGAAAGTCCAGTTTTTTTGTCGGTTAAAATTGTGCAACGACAGAAGACAAGGGCCAGGAAACAGATCGTTTATTGAGAAAAATCAACAGATACTCATATATTTCTATGTACATTATTATTCGTTATTGTTAGCAGAGAAGCAACGTCTTCTGATTGGTTGTTTTCCTGCTGAAGGTTATTCTGTCCGGTGATATATCTGCGAATCGTATCCGCCCACGCAAAGTCTGCTGTGATTGGTTGTTGAGTTCCTCAAGGTTAGGCTTTGTTCTTGTTTTTTCTCATGACCCCGATTTGGGATGTAAACATTGACGTAAATTGGTATCTACAATTTTGTCTTGCAGAAAGCTCTCACCACACTTGTAGCCAAATCAATCTACATAAGTTTCTTCAAACTAGTATGGTGTAGATAAATTCATACTTCGTCTTGTTTCTATCATATTTCTAAAACGTTTAACTGTGTGATTTTAATTTCGTCGTCTTCATTTTTTCTACGTGTTAATTGTTGTGTAAATGTTAGGCGTGACAATTCGTTGTGGTGTGCAGTAATCCTAGGTTTTCTGCCTGTAAAACCTGTTCGTCTATTAAAAACAGTAATAATAATAATAACTGAAAAGCCCTTTAATCGGACTGATTAGCTCTATTGTCATGAAATCCGTCTTTGATTTGATACAAAACCAATATGTCCCCCACTAGCATTATTCAGTAATGTGCAATTTATTGGTCATATTGAGAAAATAGATAATTAAACAAAAGAGAACAACTTACTGTGTTCTATTGCATCACGGAACATTACTAAATCTACCCGTACCATACCAGGTGACTCATTGTATTCTTTTAAGGTTTCTGACATAAATTTACGCAATCTGTCTAAATCTGTTACATCTTCATATGCACCGTCTGCATTCATAAAGTCTACAAATATAGGTGGTTGTTTAGCTGGACATAGAGCATGAAATGTTTGATCAAAATATGTAGCCAATGAATCACCGACCAAGTCAACATATGTTGTTCTATCCTTATCATCTACTAATCGATCAGAGAATACACGTAATCCTTCATGTATCCATAATCTAAGCATTGAATTACGAGTATCAATATAGTGTTTACTGGATCGGAGTAAACCTTGAAAGATCTATAACAAATAAAGATAGAAGAAAGCATTCATCGATAAAGTGACAAGGTTTCAACACTTTAACTACAATAAAAATACAGAAATAATTTAGTTTAGACTTGTACAATGCGATACATACCACTGAATGGTGTACGTTGTTATAGGCCACTCATATCAACCATAACTGCTCTGATTGGTCACTAACTAGTGTCATGCGTCTAGTACTTTGTTTGGTGAAGAGTGAATTCTGTCAGTCAAGTTTGTAATGTGGCCGTCATGCTAGGTGACTCACCATCACATTGCACTCCGAGTTGTAATTAGATGACTTTTGTAGATGGATCTTTTTAGTGTTCGATTTTGTTCACGTCCCGTTAATTGGACGTCCAGAAAAGATATTTTTGTGTTGGATTCCTTTTCTAGTGCGAAATGAATTGCTGGATGGTAGCTATTGAAGAAGTCTAAGATGTTATCCAAATTCTCCTCATTGTTGGAAGTTACACTTACATTTAAGAATTTAACAAAAAAGTCTAGATAACTGATAAAAAACCAACGCTTTCTACATTACGTAATTTGTTGACTGAAATTTTTACAATTCTAATGACAAATCTTTGAAATACTCATTTTGTTGCTAAGAAAATCAACTATATATATGGGATTGTACAGCTTGAGAATGATATCACCGAAAAGGGTAACTCTTCACTTAACTTCTTTTCTTTTATATACTTGAAGAGACAAGATAACATCATTTCAAATGAATTAAAATATTGCAGATACATTCACTCATTTATACTAAGCATTATAGAATGGACATATTTACGAAGAATGATTTTTAAGTTTTGGTTTGCTGGGATTTGTTTTATTTCAAGTCTGTTCACCACTAACTGGCTTCAACTAGAGAACCTTTGAAAAACAGCGAGTACTTGACAGCTGTTTCTTCCTTGTTTATCTGAAATTCTAGTGGGAAGTAGTGATCAGCGGGGTCCACCAAGATGGGTGAGAGGGCAGATACTCACCTGTGACAATGTCTAATAGTCGCGTCATATATCGCAAATTGGCAAAAGTTAGAAATGATGTGTTGTTGGATTCCGTCGCAGTGGATGTCTGGTCAACAAGCTCACCTGGTAACCTTAAGGTCCTGCGTGCGATCCTTGGAAGGGTAGTCGGCGTGTACTACTGAAGAGTCCCCAACTGGTGCGAAACAGACTTCCCGTACTTCCTTGTTTTCAGCGGTTATCCTAACTGATGTCAATTCGTGATCAAAACTTGAGACAATGGTTTATCTCAGTGCATAAAGGTCATCAATAAAACAATGTAGATTTTTTTTGTATAATGATATTTATTATTAAAGCTTACCTTGGAAATATCTCTTAAATTAAATAAATAGTGAATTTTAGTTGGTGTTGGTAAAAATTTAATAACAACTGCATTGTATAAATCGATGGAAGCGTGAGTTAAATTATCCGCCATTGATTTAACTTCATCTTCAAAATCTTGTAGTTTTTGACTTATCATTGTACCATAAATTCGTCTAAGATTTACTTCCTGTAAAAATTTTGAATGAAATAATCATTTAAGACATTTGTAAAAAATTATATTTGTAAAATCTCAGCGAGATTGAAATGAGTAATTCCAACGTTTCGTTCGGAAATCTGGTCCGAACTTCTTCAGGGAAATTAATCGAAATTAACATAACAGAGGTTTATACATAAAAGGAACATCACTTGTTTTTAAAAACTTTGTCCAATCATGAGTCATTCAAACAAGTATAATAAACAAAATTGTATGAGCTGTGATCAAAATTTGACCTCGAACCTACAAATATTGGTCTACCTTTGTTAAACACTTTAAACAGAGTGTGCATGCGTGTGTGTGTAAGCAGTTGTAAAACATTTCTTAACGTCTCTATAAGAAGATATGGACAGTCGAGAATTTTGACCAAGTATTAATAGTTAGTGATACATATCCATTTTTATTTATTAATCAGGATTTCCTATGCATCAGCTAACATCACGCCTGCATGTCTGTTCAAACTGTTAGTATCTAGAATTTTATGATTAGACGTATTTTCAAAATTATGGTGTTTAGGATTAGAGTTTAGTTTAAGCACCCTGTCTGACTTATTGCTTTGTCTTCTTTCTGAATATTGAGCTGCTTTATTCGACCTACTGGAGTTGTCAGGTGACTCGACAGCTACGGATTTAGGATATGCATTCTATTGCAGACAACGGAGAGTGAAAACACGATGATTGCTCCATTTACACAGTTTCTTTGTTAATTTTGTAATCATTTAAGCATTTGACGATCATATTACTGCTTATCTTTAAATAATACTGTCTCACTGTATTGATAGGTATATTCAAAATGTGAACAAATTAATATGGAATTCAGTACACAAAAGAGATAAAGGAATTCCTTTAAATGAAAGACACGAGGATGGTAGGTTGTAATTGTCAGTCTTAGTTGAGATTTATTTAAAATTTTCTAAAATCATCTTAACAATTGTAATGTACTTCGTTGCATTCTGAGTATTTGGTGTTTTAGCCAATAGGATATTCATGGAGGATTTCATCATGAGATGACATCAGTTAGAGAACCACTGGAAAACCTGGGAGTACTGGACAGCTGGTTCGTCCTAGTTTGGCACTGTTCAGCAGTACGCACCCACAGGCAGGGTTCGAACCCAGGACCTTCAGGTTACAAGGCGAGCTCGTTCTCTAACTGATGTCAGCTCATGATGAAATCCTCCATGCAATCAAACAAAATCCCTACAAAACCAATACTTGAAAATAGGATATTCAACGATTTTTGATTTTTTTCGTCATAAATGAAGTGGAAAACATCTATGAAAGTGAAGATAACTTTATAATTTATTTTAGACTATGTAGAAAATATTTCTTCTAGTACCTGTTGTCTCAACACATTCAGAAATATTTTGACGATCACAGAGATAACTTCATACTGCATTGAAAGACTGTGTAAAAGCTGACCTTACACCTAGCATAGTTCAGATAGATGAAGGCTATTACTAGTGAAACGATAGAAAACGAAGACTTGGTAAAGGAATGTTTAATTGGATGTTGGTATCTCTCTATATAGCCAAATTATGTACGCCTTATCTTCAAAGCACCATTTGCACAGATCTTCCGTGTTGTGGTACTTCTGGCCTTCATATATTGTGTTTCTTTCACGTCTCCCGTGTATCTCTACAACGCTGTATCATTTGCCTTCTCTGAAATCAAATGTATCTCCCTGCTATTTGATGTTTTTTTGGGCCGATGAACGTCTCTTTATATATACTACTGACAAATCTTATCAGTAGCACTCGCCATACTAGTACAAAACCAGTTAACATAATTTCAGACCAGAAGTTATATCTCTTGTAGACAGATGTCTTCTGAACGGCGCAGTAAATCATTATTTCTGTTTGGTTATTCTGAGAACCTCAGAGTCATTGTACTACTGACAACTTACATGAAACTTAGTTTCATTGAAGGGGATATCTAACATTTCTGAAATGGATCAACCAAATAACCAGTAAAATTGCCAGTGGTTATTGGATTTTTGGAAAGCAAACAAAATAGATAGAAGATTCAGAAATTCATCCACGATCTGTGAGTTTCATGCCAAGAAAACTATTACCTCAGTAAGTCAGAAAGTTATGTAACCAATCATATATAGTGATACTGAAATTTAAATCAGATCTGTTATTTATCTTGTCGTAACTGTAGTGTTTGTCACCGTTGGAAACACGGATAATTCAGTCTTCTATTCATAAATCCTATCTTTCTATTTTTTAAATATTATCTTATTTCTTTGCGTTTAGGGTGGAACAAAGGGCTTCAAGTTCCAACTTTGAAGTTTCATTAGCACTGGTGCTTTTACAGGGTAGGGTTGCTAGTTCACGCCTAACCTTCCCTTATTTTAGCCGGCCTTACTACCGGTAAAAGCGAGGCGTAGGAGTGCGTCGGCTGGGGGAGGGGTGAACCTCGGTCTTAGTGCGTGGTTGGTGAGTGTCCTACGACTGAACCACCGTTGCACAATAACTTTGATTCTAGGTGGTTGGAGGCGATCGTGGGAAGCGCTGCCTAGATCTAGGTTTTGTGTTTCATGGCACTCACCAGTCAGCAAAACGTATCTGAAATCTTTAAGGAAGTCATTCCCCTTCTGAGTTTCGAACTCATGTCACCTAGTGCTTCAGCCAGAGACATAACCACTGTGCTATTCGGGTTTATATTATAAATATTAATATTTTAGTCAAACTGCAAATGAAATGTAATCTAATCAACCCTAAATTTTAGAAATGTATAATTAGGAAGTAGGCGTTGTTTACACTTTGTTCTGAAGTTATCCAACTATTCTAAAGTAAAGATAAAGCAAACTTAGAGGAGATATACACGACTGTATTGTTAATGACAACCTTATAAATCGGTGACAGAGTTGCAGACTTTATCATAGTGGAAAATGTAACAACATACCGGTTGTATTCTGCATCTAATAGTGCAGGAAAAAATGCTTAGAATTATCAAGATTCCAATCTGTCCTAATCTAAAAATAATATTTCGATGGTACAGAGAACCACCTTGCTGATCACAGCATAATTTGGAGACCCATAAGCAGCCTTATAGGCAGGGGAACATAATAGTGTTATTAAGGTATGGTAGTTAGGTTAGTGTGAGTCAGTGGCACAACGGTAGAATGCTCGCCAACCACGCCTCATGTGGTCTGGGGTTCGATCTCCGGCCACCGACGCACTCCTTTACCTCACTAAGCCAGTAATAAGACTGGTGAAGAGGGAAGGTTGGGCATGAGGTTAGCAACCCCATCCTGTAAAAATAAACACCACTACTACCGAAACTTCAAGCCTCTAGCTTGAAGCCCTATGTTCCACTGGGAACGTAAAGGAATAAAAAAGCTAGGTTAGTGATGTATTAAAAAGGGAATATTTTATGAAAGTTAACAGAACCCTTATAGAACATAATGTAGAATCTACAGTTAAAAAATCGAAAACTTATTCAATAAAACCCATTCTTTAAAAATAATTCATACCGTTGGGAATGTGACAGCAATCTGATGGAAATGTGCTTGAAGACGTCGAGATATTACCATTCTTCCACCGCCTGGTGTACCCATTGCCACCATCAACTGCATACCTTTGATTTTCTTCCTAGTTTGCTTCAAGCGATCATACCAAAATCCATATTCTAACCATTGACGGATCAGTTCCAATGGTGGTTGAGAACCAGAACTGTCTTTTGCTGGCATATTAAACTCATCCATGAAAGTGAGCATCTTCCCACCACCAACTGGTACAAATGTATCTTTTGTACGTTTCTCTACACGACCTTCAATTATGTCTTGTACATTATTTGATGTTGTCTACATTTTGTGAAGAAGATAAATAAGTAAAAGATAAGAATAACCATGTCACCCTATTTTGCTTCGATATTTTTCACACTTGAAGGAAAGGAATATTTTATAAACCAACAAATAGAATCATTCATATTTCATTTCACAAAAAAGTAAGTTTTATACCTTCAAAGCAAACTATATGTTATTTACGTTAGGTTTCATAGTAATAATAATAATAGCTTGATTTTGAACAAAACATTTAAACAACAGATGAAATTCTATGCGTAATTTATTATTATTATTGTTTCCTTTAATTCCTAGAGGAACATAGGGCTTCAGCCGTGCGTCTCCATTGCGTTCGGTTCTCTGCTAGAGTCTTCACCTGGCTCCAAGTCTGCCCACACGTTTTCATCTCCTCTTCACATGACCCTTGAACGACCAACTCGCCGCTTCCCTTTCGGGTTCCACTCGAGCGATGGCTTGTCTAGTGATGTCACTTGATGCATTGTTTCCTCTGAGTATGGCCAGCCAATCCATCTCCATTTCTTCCTGCCTATTTGTTTCACAATCGGTTCCTGCTGTGTTGGTTCGCTCATTGCCAGAGATCTCTGTTGCTGATCTTTTCTGGCCAGCCATCTGATCTTGAGTGGCATTGAGCGAAGACAACTGTTAATGAAGGTCTGTAGTTTGTTTGAGATGCTCTTTATGACGCGCAGTGCAAGTCTCTGATCCGTACAGTGAGTAGCACTGACTTCACATTGGAGTTGAAAATCCGGATCTTATTTTTGATGCTGAGTGTTGTTGACCTCCACGCAGACTTGAAAGTAATGAAAGCTTGTCTTGCTTTTCCGATTCGTGCTTTGATATTTTCATCAGTTCCGTCCGTCTGTAGTTGAAACGATGCTACCCAGGTAGGTTATTCCTAATCATATTTTGGCTCTACCAATTTTTTTCATTGTGTCTATTCAATTTGTATACTCTTCCTTTATTACGTCAATTGTTACTATTACTATTCTCTCACTTTGAACTGTCCCCAGTATTATTTCACTTGTTCCACTTGTCATTCTAAATCAATTCCTTTTTAGCAACATTAAATTCTATGTTGTCAAATTTCATATAATGCTATGTAACGTTTTTATTTTTATTGTTTGCCTATTAATCATATAATTTCACACCCCTTCCACGTTCTATACATCCTATGAGTTGTTTTGCCACTTCACATTTAACTATGATTAGAACCACAAACATTCATTCATTAGAACCACAAACATTATTCAAACCTGGATGGCCAAGGTAATGATAATGACTGGACTAACTTCTTCTGGGTGCATAAATTAGGCTTATTAGTGGACAAAAACATCAGGTAGTCCAGTGAGTAATTCGAGTAGGCCATTAAAGCGTTAAAAAATAGTTGGAAATGAATCTATGGATGGCGTTGTACACACAGTTCTCATTGGGGATTTTGAGATAAAAACCTAAATAAGATTATGTATTTACTACTCACTGCTATAGATGACAGTCAGTAGTGAGTTGATCAGAAACTAGTCATTCAGTGTTCACCTTTTAATTAATATATGTAAAATAGATAAACAAATTACTAGAGTCATAAAAAAGATGAATTGTGATGATTTGAAATTATGCAATTATTAATAGCAGTTAATATTAATTAATTAGTGATTTGTTATCAACGTAATAAATTTTAGAGTGGTCGGTTCATTCAATTATATAAGCGGCGTCGTTTCACCTACTGGAAACGAAAAGAATGAAGATGTCATAACCAGAATCGGAAAGGCAAGACAGACCTGCATCACTCCGAAATCAGTTTGGAAATCTAAACTCTGCAGCATGAGGAACAAAATTCGGATTTTCAAAACCAATGTTAAGTCAATCAGTTCATCTCTTTTTTTCCTTCACGTTCCCAGTGGGACATAGGGCTTCAAGCTAGTGGCTTGAAGTTTCTGTAGCAGTGTTTTTCTTTTACAGGATGGTATTGCTAGCCTCATGCCCAACCTTTCCACTTCACCAGCATTATTTCTGGCTTAGCGAGGTAAATGAGTGCGTCGGTGGCCGGGAATTGAACCCCGGACCATGTGCATGGTCGGCGAGCGTCCTAACCGCAATGCCACCGACGGGTCAGAAACTTGCTCTGCGAGTCACGGAAAGCATTTCCAACAAGCCACTGAAGACTTTTATTATCATTTGCATTCGCTCGCTTCATACTGAAGATCGCATAACCAGCCAGAAAGGATTAGCAATAATAAACTTTGGGAACGAAACAATCAAGAATCTATTGCTCGAAAAATACGTAGAAGAAAATGGAGATGGATTGGATACACTCTGAGGAGACCATCGAATGACATCTCGCTCCAGTCTATTGCTCAAATGGAACCCAAATGGGGGGTGGCAAGCTGTGCATGGCTCGGAGGGTGACATGGAGGACATCGTGTCAGGAGGAGGAGGAGGAGGAGGAGGTGAGGGCTTATGATCAATCGTGGAGCCAGTCAGAGAGTACTTCAGAGAACAGGACAAAATGGAGACGTTCTGTTAAAGCCGAAATGTAAGCGGAAAATAATAATTTGTCAGTTGTGCGCTAGATCAATGTAGAAACAAGGAAGAGTTGATATTGAATAGAAAATGAATAGATCAAAATAAAAAAGTAGAGGAAGAGATATTTCGCAAAATTATGAAAGAAGAGGATGTTGTTTGTTCCCATCAGCCTAGCTTCCCTATAGAGATGTCTAGAATTTCAGCAGTAAACATTAACATTGGCAGGTTACCTTGCACAATGTACATAACATTTAGCAATAAAGTTTCTGAGATTAGATAGGTGATCACTGTCATCGAGGTAGGTGTGCATTTATCGTACTTAAAATATACCTACTTCTGTCGCCTACCTGTTTGTTACAACACTTGATGATGTACTTAAACACTTTCGGATATTATTTGAGTTCAAAGGACTAGTAGCTAGCTTACCCATAACAACTTAAGTGGAATACAACATAAGAGTGATTAAAAGAATGATCTTATATTTCAAGTTGTTGCAAACTAATAAAAAGCGAAGAGTGAACGAACACTACTTTCAGAGTTGACGCAAAGAATGTTATTGTCACGTAGTGAGTGCAAGTTCTCTCTCTTCATGATGCTAAGACGAAAATGCAGCATCTTTTTTGGTATGGAAGTTAGATCATTTCTAAGTTTCTGATTGGTCGATCTACTTATCTGTCAATAGAGGTGGATATCTCCTTCCAGTCAGAGTTTTCCGTTAATGACTTGTCTCTTCTTCTTTTTCTTCTTCTTGTACAGTATACCTCTGGTAGATAGATAAATTAGAGGCGAGGGCAAACGATACTACTTCATTTCTCTTTCTGACAATGATCGCCGAGTTGTTACAGAAGACTGTGTCAGTTAACCATTTCTTCCTTGATTGGTCTGGATTAAGCAAGGGGATTTTAATCCCACTTTCTCTTTGAAGAGTAACATTTATCAGAGGTCAATAGATATTAAATATGTGCAGTACTAGATTAAAATGGAATTCTCTGTAACGGCTTTGTTTATATGTTACGAATGTCATTATGCGACTGCCAATCAGAAAGCAAAATGAAAAACCAGATTGTCGTTTAAAAAATGTCCAAGTAACATTGAATGCATTAAACATTTGAAGGGGAGTTTCTCTGTATGAAACGTAACTCCATTGGATCAGTTAATGTCAGTATAGTGTGCAAATCTGACGTGATTTTGTTTTACAAACGATTTCGTTATACTAGTTATTTTTATTTTCTGCTCATCAAAACAGCGCGTTGTTTCTTACAAAAACTTGAGTAATTTAGGAGTTTATAATATCATACTGAGGTAATGTCCAGTCAATGAACCATAATAACAAAAATTACGGTAGGTGTTACTGACAAGATTTTGTAAGTAGTATATTCTGTATGATATCTTCCACAGTAATACTGATTAGCGGAGGGATGGAAGTAATAGAGAAGTGAGGAAATGAACGATTCTTGTGGAACAACATGGAATTTCGTGATAGGAAGAAGATAAGGAGGAAATGTGCAAATTGTGATTTTAATATAAGGTCGATGTATTTTACCTATATCTGTACACAGAATCGGCAATAAAGAATTCCGTTACGAAATAATATTGCGTTGTTCCGTTATACATCCACCTGAGAATTAGGAATGCTAAGAGATGTCAACAACAACAAAAATGCAGATGAATAAAGCCAGTGGCCATCAGTTAACTTTTAGTCACTAATTTCATATGTCGTTGTTGTTGTCTTTGGCATAGAACTGGACTGATGGACACTGGTTTCATTCGACTGTATTGTTGTTGTTGGCGTGGTGTACAGATCTAAGCAAGATACGTCTACCATATATTAAAACCACAATTTGCACATGACTTCTGTATTGTTCTTATTTTTCTTTCCTTTCATGTTTTCCCTGTAGTTCCACTAGAATCATCTTTTCCTTCTCTTTGTCATTACATCCATCTCAGAGCTATTCAATAATCTTGGGAATAAGATACGTATTTATGTCTGTATCTGTATACCACTTAGAAATCTTGTTAGTAGTACATCTCACATATGTACATCAATTCTTCAATAAAGAGTCCCTCTTCCGGGATACTAACTTGTTCCACTGTCATAGAGTGACTATATGTACATGGGAAAGAGAGTTTACTCTAATGATACGCATAATATTTCATTCTCTATAGAAATGTGATGCAGAATAAGTCATTGATTCACTAATGTAATATCGTGAAAATAGACTAGAATTTAATATGCCTAAAAACATGATATAACTGCAAGAATTTCAACTCACTTGAGCAGACATGTATATCGTAAGATTAGTCCATTCTGTTGGATCTAAATTTCTTAATAAATTTAATGCTAGTGATGTCTTTCCAGTTCCAACTGAGCCAACTAATAAGGCAGGATATTTTTGCTGTACTGTACATTCCAAAATAAAGTTATATCGAACTGTATCTGCAGTGGGTACAAGTATTTTGTGGAACGGCATACTGAAATAAATGCATAATTGAAATGAAAACAGCATTACATATATGCATAACTATTTGAAGGGTAAGTCATTCTACAAACGTTAGGAAAATTAAAGGCTACATCCACAGCTTTGAGACAGGATTTTTATATTCTTAGCATTTATTAACTCATCGTAAGAAAACGAAAATTCTTCAATTATGTGAGGTGGATGTGATCATTCTCATTGCAAGTGCATAGTGTTCACTCGTTAAACGAAGACTGTTACTGATTTCTCCTTTCACCCAGATGAATTATTCCTAAAGGTTGCGACTTTCTACCATCTCACTATATGGTTATGAGCCATTGCAAGGACTGCTGTAATCAGTTTTTTTATAGATTCATATTCACTCTCGGCTATCTACTTATCTTGAAATAACTAAGGCTTTATGATTCGATATTCCAGCTGACCAGAGTCGAATTGTGGTGAGAGCTGTCTGATAGTCAAAACTGTAAACAACAATTTACGTCAGTGTTTACGCCAAGTCCCGAATCGGGGTCATGAGAAAAAACAATAACAAAGGTTAACCTTGAGGAACTCACCAACCAATCACAGCAAACTTAACGTGTGTAAATACGATTCGCAGATATATGGCCTGACTATCTAAGAGACGGCCACAAAGAGAAGACAACAACCTTCAACAAGAAAACAACCAATCAGAAGACATTGCTTCTCTGCTAGTAATAATGCTAATAATAATGTACATAAAAATCCATAAATATCTCTTGATTTTCTTAATAAACGATATGTTGCCCGGCCCTTATCTTCAGTCGTTACAGAATGATATTAGCTTCTAATCATTACAATGAACTAGTTAGATTAAATTATTTTGTTTAACCTGTTCAGTATATAATTTAAGCCATAAAGTTTAAACTTCATTATGAATATTGTTTTGTGAGCAATTTATTTAGTGTTTCTGAAATTCCTTGATTATATATAGAAGCACCATAAAGATATCTTCTTTTATTATGAGCGTTTTCTATGTATTTGTCATAGTGATTTTATTCCCTTTCTTATACACAGAGACCATTCTAAACTTTCTAGTTGGAAAGTATCAATATTTTTACAGCTACACCAAAGCTTAGTAATTATAATCATTTCTCAGATATATAACCATAAACTCTGGAAGGTTACTTGTTTATCCGTAAGATTTTACTGAGGGCTATCGCCCGCTGATAATAAAATTCTTCATATTGAATATATACACTGAATAGTTGAATAAAACATACTCTGGTGAATATTTCCAACCAGCTTTTAATTTCTCCTCCCAGTGTACCCATGATCTTGTTTTAGGATCTACATAATATTCATAGACTGAATCTTTGTTAGGAAAACTGCCTTCAATTTCACGAATGTACGCATCGACTTTTTTTCTACCATCTTCATCGACCATACATGCAACAGACCATATCATGCAGAATTGGAAGGTCATTTCTAATAAACGTGGATAATAATCGACATCAGCTGGATCAGCCTGTAATAAGAAGGTAATAAGAAATAATCTTTTTGATTTATCTGCAACGTGAGATAGAGTGGGATCAAAATTATGATGTATTACAGGTGGCTTATCTAGGCCATAACATAACATTACGAGGATAAAAGCTGTTGTTTAAGTCTTCTGGGAGAATTCGCCATATTTCAGAATGTTATTATTATCGCCATCATTATCGCACCCTTGGATCCCAAGTGGAATGTAGGGCTTCAACGGGACATCTCCATTTCATCCTGTATCCTGTAGTCGGCTTTAGCTGGCTCCATGATTTCTCATAAACTATCATCTCCTCCATGTTACTCTAGGACCCATACCCAATTCGCCTTTCCTAATCTCGTTCCTCTTGAGGGCATGGCGCGCGATGTCACTCGAGAGTCTCCTCAGTGGATGTCCGATCCACCTTCATTTTCTTCGGCATATTTCTTGAGCTATGTGTTGTTGGTCGGTTCACTGTCAGAGTTCCGTGTTTGCTAATCTTTTCTGGCTGGCTATCTAACCTTCAGTGTTGGGATAGAGAAGATGACTTTTGATGAAATTATGCAGCCTGTTGAAAGTGCTGTTAGTGATGCCCCCACCAAGTCTCTGAACCATATAGTAGCACTGAATTGAAATTAGTGTTGTAAATTTAAATCTTGTACTTTATGCTGATTGCAGCAGACTTCCACACTGATTTTAGAGTAATGAAAGTCTGTTTTACCTCTCCGATCCTACCTTTGATATAGTCATCCGTGCCGCCTGTAGTTGAAACAATGCTGCCCATATAAGTGAAAATAGTGACCTCCTCCGAATTTCCCCCTACTGACAGTGATTCGGACTTTTTTGTTCCTGGTTAGGTATTTTCGTCACCTCTGCCTTCCTTATGTTCACTTGAAGTTTTTTCTCGTTACTTCTTCCGACAACCTCTTGGTTTCCACCTGTAGATCTTCGGGGTTGTGTGGAACTACGCACAAACCATCCGTGACTCAAAGTATTACTGTTTTCTCGCTCCCACTGGTTTATTGCAAGATCCAGTCCACTAAAATGAGGAATATCGTCAGCGATAATAGTTAGCCTTGCCTTACTCCTGTCTTCTCTTCAAAGGCATTTTAGAATTTTGTTATTATAAATCATAAGTAAAATGACTTCACACCAACTACTACGAAGCGCTTTTCGTCCACTTTTTGATGTATACCCAATTTTAAATTTTTGCATCAATTGTCTTTTTACATTTGTCACTTTTGCCTCTATATGATTGCAGAATGTGTGAAGAATAGCTGTTTTTGGTTTTTAAATGTTTTACATCATTGTAGTAGTTTTTCTTTTTATCTTCAACATAAAATACCTGCAAAACTCCATGCATTTCGCATAGTGTAAAAGTATACTTCAGAGCAAAGGTAGTCACCATTACTACTCATCGATTAGTATTGATTGTCCAGACTGATCCTACTTTCCTCTTCTCTACAATCAGATCTGTACACCTAGTTATAATTCTAGAGTCTTCAGGTAGGTTAGAAAAAGTTATTGAGACATTTACTTGAAAATGTACAACTTGTATTTCTAAATCAGATTTTATGATATAATACTGTATCTGCGGGACGGAAAAGTACATATATATACATATTGGGCACGAAATAGATAACTACCCATAAGACGTCATTTAGTGATGCAGGCTTCGGGTTTGTTAATCCATTTTTCTTGAATTGGTCAGCTTTTAGGGTTAATCAACAATAACAAAGTGTGAAGGATGAATATGTTTACGATATGTACTCACAATTTATCTCCTTAGTCTGCCAAGCTAGTATTTGTCCTTAGTCTATCTCTAGTTTATCAGTCTGACGTGTGTTCTCAACCTATCTTATTAGTCTGTTAGATCAAAAATAAATCATATGTTGTTGCATGATGAGCGTCAACCAGTCAGAATCCTGTATGCAGTTAACGCCTACTAGTTGAGTCTTGCGACTGGATATATGCCATGCACAGTTTTGTACTTTTGGTCACTTTTGCCTTCACTTGTTTTGAAAATGCGTTTCCAATTCACTGTGCAGGTCTTTCGGAAATACTAGTTCGGGTCGGGGAATGGCCGACTGGGAAATTAACAGGCGTTTATATCGACAGTTAGCATTCGCACTGATACCCAGCGACATTGTAACAGTTTATGAAGACCATAAAGAACATAACGATTAAAAATTCAGTTGCAAATTAAAAATATTATATGAAGTTCACTAATATTTTTTTAAAAGTTTTGGCCGAAGCCGAGGTCTTTCAAAATTTGACGTTCAGGAACCAATCAGATATAGGGAGTGCTACGAAAGGTCAATCCAAGTAAAATCATGCCTACCTTTCTGGACTTTGAGAAGGCAGATATAGTATTCCACTTATTCTTTTTCTGTAAATCTATACTGTTAGATAGTCTTATGGCTTTTCAGATTAGGGTTTAGGGTTAAGGTTAGGATTAGGGGTTACAGTTAGGAGTAGGTCAAAGAACAGTTTCATAAATATCAATAGATTTCAAAGTGACATGACCAACAGTCACCTGGATGAATGCATCTATCGTGTATGGTATGATTTATCTATAGATCATCTGTGTATTGACTGGGAGAAATTACTACAGCACATAAGCGACAACAACATAGTGTAACATCATGTTTGCAGTGTTTTTAGTGCATTTTTCAACAATTATGTTACTTTATTGCATCCGAATTCTGATTGGTTGTTTAAAGTCACTGTGGTGGTTTTAGCTATGATATCTTAAATTTACCCCAATTGTGCCTAAAGATGAAGAGAACAGATTTCTAGAATACTGTCAATCAGATGACCGTGTCGTGTCCACACCGATAGGGTTCAGACCCAGGACTTTCTGGTTACACGTCAAGCTCGCAGACCATTTAGCCACTGGGACCCAGCACAATGGCCCATGAATTCTAATGTCCACCAGACAATATCATCTGCTAATATTTGTCTTCATACCCAACCCCGTGGACCCCAGTGGTGACGACTTCTCATTAAAATTCCAGACAACGTTTTCCTTTAGTGGGTCACTAGCGAGCATTAGATTAATTTGCAAAACTTAGCTTGTAGGGATTTGATTCGTTTTAAGTTTGATCCCAGGTTGATTTCAGTTACTTGGCACACGTATCGTTCAGGGAAAAAATATTATAGAGATAAAGTCCTCATAAGCCTTCTAGTCTTCCCCCTGATATTTTTTTCATTTTCGATACTTTTATATGATATAGCACTCAGTGAATCGGCATTTACCACTGGATGATATTTCCAGAACAATTTGTCCCACATAATCTTATCAAGGTTGTGATTATGAGTGTAATGGCAAAATTTCATGTAAAATTCCTCTTTTATGACCTAATCATAATATTCATAATTATTTGAGACCTGGCCATTGAGAGTGGAAGACATGAAAAGATTATCTGTGTTCGATCATAGGTGTCTGCGTTCTATCTCCCGCATGAAGTGGTATAATAAGGTGAGCAATATTGAGGTTAGGCGTCGAGTGCTAGGTAAGGAGGGGAAATCAGTCGACGAAACTGTGAAATTACATCGACTGAGATGGTTAGGACAGGTGTTACGTATGCCTAGTCATCGCCTTCCTCGATAATGGACAATGTTAGCTGACATAGGGTCAGGCTGGAGAAGACCTAGCTGCGGCCAAACCGAAACATGGCACCGGTCAATGAAATACACAACAGTTAGTTTAAGCCAGCCACGTAGGAAGGTGTAGACTTCCTGGTTGGGGTCCTCGGGACAGTAAAAACCAATGGTTGGAAACAATTGGTAATATGGCTCAAAATCGTTCTCAATGGCGGGTGCAGATGCATCCACTCCCTGTGACTTATGATTTCCAATGAAACTGTTTTGTTCTTCGTTATTACTATACCTTTGTCTCACACCTCTGTTTACTGTCTCTAATATGCATTTCTCCTACTTTCTTCTGTTGCTTTGTGTGCTACATGGAGTGTGGCGACTTGAACTGCCGCACATATGTGCAAAGTTCTATGTCAGAAACAGACAGACAGACAGAACGATTCAACTAACTCTGTAATTATTATCAATTTTTCTCCTAGATTCTGTATCACTGTTTTGACATTTAAATATCACATGCTGATTTGATCCTTAGCATTTGTCTTTGTGATCGTTTAATCTCAAATTTTAATGCTTCCCTTTGTGTCTGCGTGTGCATTGATAATGTGTTGTACGATATGACTTTGTTTTAGTGAGTAAAGGTCACTTCTGACCCTGGAATATTTACGGGAAGTGTTAGGATGGGATTCTTGTGGACAAAGTTTTTGATCCCACTTTTGGGGAATATTCTAATTCATTCTAGATGCTCGTTTTGTATTTAGACTGGACTATACAGCTGCCTAATGGCAATGTTGAGGTAATTTTAAGTTTTTTTAATATTATTATTACTTAACAGAACCACAAACTGTTGATGAGTAATTGCCTTTTTCTTGTCTTCGGAGTGTTTCGTAATTACGCTTGTCTCACGGAAGTTTTGTCAGCTGTAACAGTAGCATGCAAAGACCGGTTTCCTGAGTTCACACCATACCGAGTCGGTTTCGATAGCTACTATAAGTATATCTGACCGCATAACAGCTGTCACATGAGTGCAGTCAATATCTTGTATCCCGGCAGTATATAACTCAGAATGGAAATTAATAATGGGCTGAATGGTTTTGTAAACTGATATTTGCATTAGATAAATACATTCTTTCAAGTATTGGTTTCATAGGGATTTCGTCTGATTGGTTGGAGGATTTCATCTTGCTGAAGAGTTCCAAGCTGGGACGAAACGGCTGTCCAGCACTCCCTGAAGGTTTTCTCTAACATATGTCAGCTCATGATGAAACCCCCAAACCAATCAAATAATTTTTTTAAATGATTGTAGGTTATAGTTATACTGAATATCAGTTGAAAGTAAATACCAATTAGAATATTGACATACTTACCCAAACTTCAGGAGTAGCCAAACAATCATACAGTTTGCATAATGAAATTATTGTGTTTGTTAAACTCATTGGAATTACAACATTACAATTCAATCTGATATGATCATATAGATTATTTATATATTTATTGAAGAAATTTCTTGTTTCATCAACTAATATTTTATCTGTCTTTTTAGATAGCCATGATTCAACATAAGGCCACCATCCTAAATCATTCACATCATTGTATACCATTCCACAACGTGATACAGTTGCAGGCGATGCAACTGATAAATCTTCCACTTCAAAAAGTAATGAGACCTATTACAAAAAATAAATGGAAAATTTAACGAAAATCATTACTAGTATTGGGATACTATCAAAGATAGTAAGTATATAAATGGGTTTCACGACATAAAACTAAAAACGGAAGCTATAGTTATGGTGAGAGCTGTCTGCTAACCAAAATTGTAAACAACAATTTACGTCAATGTTTACGTCTCAAATCATGGTCATGAGAAAAAACAAGAACTAAGCCTAACCTTGAGGAACTCGACAACCAATCACGGTAGACTTAACGTGTGCAAGTGGGATTCACAGATATATGGCTTTACTTTTTGAGAAACGGCCACGAAGAGATAACAGAATAACCTTCAGCAAGAAAACAACCAATCGGAAGAGGTTGCTTCTCTGCTAACAATAACGCTAATAAAAAATGCACATAAAAATCTATAAATAACTGTTGATTTTCTCAAAAAACGATCTGTTTCCTGGCCTTTGTCTTCTGTCGTTACATGGTGAGTCAGCTGATCACAAATTTGATCACAACACAATAGAAAGAGTCACTAAAATGAAAATTTCTTAAGTTAGGCATTTAGTTTCATACTCGATGAAAAAGTCTACTTATTAGTATCGTTGTAATAACTGTCAGGTAGAGTGAATTCTTCTGCTCCTTGTTCTAGTGACACTGTTTGGTATTCATTCATGACAAGTTCAGTATAAAGCCGTTATTCTTCGTTTCACATTAATGCAGATCGGTAGAGAATATCCTGTTAAAGCTATTTCAATTTATTTCTGTTTCCCTACTGGATTTTAGTATCAGTTACCTATCTGTCACGTATAATAGGTACCGTCATTTTAAATTCAAAAGGAATTATCAAACATAACGCCAAAATATTCAACGAAGTCATTTTTGAAGTTATTAAAATTAGTATAAAATGTATTTACTTGTTCAGGCATTGAAATTCTTTCTCCATTAATCAAAGTTAATATTTTATTATCATCCATAACACTGTTCATACTTTCAATCCAAAGGGTATCTACTGGACCATCAAATATAATCCATTTTAATGACGACGATTCATCTACAGTGGGAAAAAATAACCAATGAAATGTTGGCTCTAAGTTACTTATGACATGGATGTAAAAGTTAACAATGTAAATTAGTAATATAATACGACTAGTTAATATGAGATCATAATCACTAACCGGTAGCCGCTTCTCTCGACTGTGGTTGATTCAAACCACCCTAATGCTTTCCAGCTACTTCAGTTAACTCATGCAACATGTTTCCTTGATCATCCCTGATGTCCAATTGAGCAGTAGGGAGGATGGTTCACTCAAGAGAGATGTCTATAGGAAACCTACATCTGAAGGACGTTATACACATTTCCTCAGTTTTGTATCAATCCCATACAAAATCAATTTGGTCAAATGCCTCACGGATAGAGCAAGACAGATTTGTACAGGTGAATCCGTAGAAAATGAATTAGGATACATCCAAAGTACGCTGGTCCAAAAGGGTTATCGTAGTCAATTTTTAAGGAGACACATGAACACCAGGTACAATAAAGGGAAACTGACAATAGTTAAAAAAGAAACAACTTTTCCTAAAATTGCAATTTAATGGGGACGTGGCTAGTGAAGTCCTACATATAAGACTATTGAGAGCAGTAAAACGGACTTTTGCTGCCGCCATCCTTTGTTTGTCATTTTCCAGACGACCAATTATGATTGCTCAAGCGAAAGACAAACTACCTAGCTGTGCTACTTCTATGTGCGCAGAAAGCTATACAGGTCGAATGAGCATCTTCCTTCATGGTTCGGAAAAGGTCAAATAAAATCTATAAGAAGTTCTATTTTGTCTCAATTGATTGATGATGGCGGTCACCAAGTGGACAGAAGTAGTGCCATCAAAGTTATCTATCACATTTCATTGAGCCTTTCAAACGGAATTCGAAACCGCCTTTTACACAGCCGAAGCTATGGGAATTAATTCGAGAGAATAATCTTAGTCTTTACATACAAAAGAAGTTTGTCCTATCTTTGTCTCTCCCTTGCTTGCCTAGGTAAATTTTAATTAAACCCCCTTCCCACTCTTTCTTATTTTCCATCTCCTTCGTACTTTTATGATAATTATTCAAACTCTGATTATCTGTCTACTTCACCGACATTTAGTATAACGTAACTTTTAAGATTTGACCTAATTTATTCATTGAATTGTCTACATGTACACACATATTACTACCTTCGTCTTTCTTATCGCCACCTGCATAACCCTTATTATCACTATTTTCTTATAACTATGATCATCGCTATTATTGACGTTCAAAACATTTAACATATTATTATCATTATTTGATCCACAAAATCACCATCATTGGTTAAATTCTTTTTATATCTGAGTCTATGTAAATTAGAGTAAAGTCTAAAGAAGATCTTATTGTAAACAACAATATTGTTCGCTTATATGTCTTGTTCTAATATTAATAATGAGAATATTTAAACATTCATGTTATAGCAAAAAGAAGAAAATTTACAGTATTTCGAGGCTTCTATTCAGATCTAAGCGGCTTGAAATATGCATAGGATTAATGAAATATGAACAAACATGTGTTACTCTACTGACCAGAAATTAGGCATAAGGATCCCAATTTAGGAAAACAGCAGTGAGTGAGATTCAGTGGCATAATTATTACAACTGACAGGGAAAGAATTTAGTCTTAAAAAGAATAATTTTGGTAAATTGCTGACAACGAAACCTTAATCAGCCAGCAAAATATAGGAAAAGTGTACAAGAAGACATTTAGACTTGAAATCGATTAAGTGAGTTAAGATCAAGAATTGATCACGAAGATAATAGTCAGAAGGAGATCTTTACTAGATGAGCTACGACATCGATACGATTTTACTTCTACTACACTTGTTTTATAATTGCTGTATGAATATGTAGCTGAACAGCTATATGAGTGCCATCACTCTAGCTTCCCAGTTAGATATTGTTGCATTCACTCTGAGGTGGATGAACTGAACATAAAAGGGTTCAATTTACTTTTGATTTTAATATCTGATTAGCTGTAATGTCCTACTGTTCCTCCGGTATAGAAATCTTGACTAGATGCTACTGATTTGAATCTTCTTTTACACAGGCCTTCTGAGATTACCCGTTTACTCTCACAATTTTTCATTTACCAAGGCGAGCATATCACCTTCAACCAGGAATAAATATTGGCCAATACTAAACTAATTTCAGATTTATATAGTCAAGGAAGACATAACTTTCCATTATATAACTAGAATTCAGCTCAAGTAATTGACCACACTGACAATAGACTGTTGATTCAGCTTAGTAACACGAATCTACCTTAATGATCAAGTACTCTTCGAGTTCCCCTGCTGTGTACCAGTAATTAGAAAAGATGAGGCCAGTTGGTTTTCACATCGAAAAATTCATTCTAAAAGGAATAGCATTGTTCGCAGTTGAGAATATCTATAGACAAATGATAGTCAATTGTAGTGAAACGATGAGATTTTACAAAATTGTCACACCTAACAAACACCATTTTTATTCTCCATTGTCTTATGTATTTCTACGCCATAGTGAAAATGCCTACTTCCTACTTTTATATGATGATAAACAAAATATGTGCAAAAGTTGAACTGTAACTTGTTTATTAAATGTTATAGGTTTTGCGCAGCTGACGAGACCCAACAGAAAGAAGTCGTTACATATTATTCTGTTCAAATTCATAAAATCGAAATTCATGTATTCAGGTTTACATTTCGATTAGACTGTGTAGATACACCTCTTTTTTTGAAAAGTTATAATAGTTTTATTCCAGACAGTGTTTATACAGTGTACAGAATTTTCAACAGGAATTATTGCGCAACATTATCTCATTATCCAGGATCTTCACAGGAAATAGTAACTGACAGCAGATCACTTGACACAGTGCTATGTGACCTGAAGCGAAAACCAGCCCCTTATGATATTTCCTCTTTGTCTCATTTGAGAAATGCATGACATTTGGTTGAAAGTCAATTAAGAAAGGTGTGCAGGAGTACATTTATTGACCTAGGGACCAAATAATGATAATAATAGCTGAATAGCTGAAGAATGAAGGTAATTAGATTTGTTTCCCAGGCAGTGGCAGTTTGTACTAAAAATTTCAGGGAAGGTTATCTCATGTATTGGAATACGTTACCACACACCATTTTGTTTAATATGAACTTGCAGATCAGCAGGTGGAAAATATGTTAAATATTCGCGAGAGTAAACAATACTATTAGAGGTAATATTTTAATAGATTGAAACAAAGTCAACAACAGAAATTGTATGCAATATGATGATGCAGTATGTTTAGTAGACCAAGTTTCAAACAGGCCGTCTTTGATTTTTAAGAATCTCCACAAATTAACTGTTATCATCTTTTGTACTTAATAATCTTGCTGTATATACTACGTAAACACATTCTTATAAGCGATTCTTTTCATCGTAATTTCAATAACATTGAAACGGATTCGCTAGATTCCTATAGATTTCATTCAATAATGAACATTTTTACATGTTTTTACCTATGTAAAATATGTATCTTTAGACTAGTAAATAATAAGTAATTTGGTGAAGGGTGACTAGCAGTGGAAACCAGGATGCATATTTTATCCTGTTTGTAACTCATCACCTGGATGCACCTGCGTTCCCAGTCATCAACGACGGTAAATCCACTGAGACTCAAACCCAGTATTCATCGTTTCAAACGGTTTAAGTTTCAAAGGGAAGCTAGAAGCTTGAAGTAACTGTAGCAGCTGTGTTTATATTTACGGGATGGGATTGCTAGCTTCATGCCCAACCTTCCCCCTTTACCAGTCTTATTGCTGGCTTAGCGAGGTAAAGGAGTGAGTTGGCCAAGGGTCGAAATTCGCACCACATGTGTGGTTGGCGAGCATTCTACCGCTGAGCCACCGAACACTTAGGTTCAATCAATCAACGAGGAAAACCAAAACTGAATTAAAAACAAATAATAATCAATAATTATTTTAAGTATATGAATGTATAACATAGCTAACCTGAACACGTTTGACGCATAATACTTGAAAGTACACCATCAGTCCATTCATTTGTTGATAAATCAAATTCACCATATAATTCGCCTAAAGACAAAGCTTTAGGATTTAATGGATACTCAGTGACTCGTTCAAATTCAGAATTTGGTTCTTTAGCCAGTGAATTATGAACTGCTTTAAGTAAACGCCATGTTGTTGATTTGCCGGATAAAGTTTTACCAACAATCATAACTGAATGTCTTGAGCTTTTAGTTTCATAAAGTTGTACAACTTTTTCCAATGTAAAAGGTGTCATCTGCAGACTGAGTTTATTGCATTCTTCTTGTAAAGCATTTTTAATCTATAATAACAAAAAAGCATCACAAGTGTTTAACTATATTCTACCATATTTATGTACAAGGTAGGTAAGAGCCATGCAGAAATGGTCTACGAGCTCGCCTTGTAACCAGAAGGTCCTGGGTTCGAGCCCCGGTGGGTGCGTACTGATTCAAAGTTCCAAACTAGGCTGACGAAACAGCTGCTCAGTACTCGTAGGTTTTCCAGTGGCTCTGTAACTGATGTCAGCTCATGATGAAGTCCTCTAACCAACGAAACAAAATCCCTACAATACCAGTACTCAAAATATTTTGTTTACATTTCTGCTGAGAATACAAGAACAATTCATCACATTGCATATCCCTTGAATGATATAATCAGCAACCTTCTCATAGCAAAGTATTTTTCGCGATTTGCATGTTTATGTGGTAACCAGCATGAGGAAGGCATCAAAATTTCGTTTTCATAGGGCGTTTACGAATTATTACGTAAGTTTCTAATTAAGTTTACACCATTTTACCTCAACACCATATTTTACTTTGTGATATTGATATAGTTGGGTAGGTATGATGGCGAAGATTTGTTGTTTAGGTGGATGATGTTGATGTAGTTGTGTTCTTTGAGCTTGACGGTTTATTTACTTCAAATTGAAGTATACGCTGAAGAGTTTGTCTAGTAGAGCAATGAAAGCTTCGCAAATAAATCATCCAGTTTAGAAAACACAACTACATCAATATATATGAGTAGTAGCTGGCTGATGCACACTTGTGAAGGCACCTTTCCACCTGTTTGAAATATTTCATCGCTAAATACCTAATATGAAACTATACTTGTGTGTAGAATGCACCTGTTCCTCAATACACTTAGATGACTTCTTGAGCGTATAATGTTAAATTGGCTAATATGTTAGTTTGTGATAGAAGACATCATGAGAATGAATTGCGAAATAGGGTCCATGAAAAGAAATCTGTGACATACTATTGGAGATGGTAGGTGATTTGATGTCACTTGAGTGTGGGTGGTGGTGTGTATCCCTTTCTTCTGTGACACCTGTCAAACTTCACTATTCCTATTAAAGAACTGTCAGCAAATCAAACTATCTTTGAGGCATTATTTAAAAACCAAAGTACTTCTTACATTTAGTACATCACTGTCATCTTTGTTAAATCAATACACCCATATATGGAATTTTGGTAACAATTCAGATTAGAAAATCACTTGGATTATTTCACCAATTCTCATGACATTAGGAGTCGAATGTTAGATTAAACTAAATGATTCGTCACGTAAAAATGTGTTACACCGATATAGAGGGCACATCTACACATCAAATGAGGTTGGGATTCAATGTAGAATCAAGTTCACTACGATGACCAAAATTATTTGTAAATTTGTCATCATGGTAGGTGAAAGTTAGGACATAACGGCACCCAAACCTAAGTTATATTCTTAATAAATATATTCACTTAGAGTTTGTATACTCGTGGTTATTGTAGCAACCGTGATTCTCCTTTCAGATTGTTTTTATATCGGGAATAAAAATACCTTGGGAAAAAGAATCGCCATAATATCTTTGTCTGTCACATTTTCTTATTATTGCATAATACCTGTTCCTAATCTGACTACTATTTAGCCTTCCATAAGATAGACATACTGGATTTTATTCAAGTTATCCAAAGGATAACATGAATCATACTCAAGTTTGGATTGTATTAATAATAATACAGACAGGCTTATATAGCATAAATACGTATCATTAGGTTTTTAAAAACACTAAATTAAATCCATCTAGATTCTAATTCATGTACAGTCACTTATGTTGGTTCATTTGTTTCATGTCTTTTCGACATGTCTTACTCTGTATACACCTTCAAATACATAAAAGCTCATAAAAGAATTATATTTTAGACACATTTATTCGCTCGCAGTGTAAGGGCCTGCTCTAGGCCACTCAACACATACAAACGTAGGGGAACAGATTCTAGTGAATTTTATAGTCTAGCTAGCTACACATACTTCGTATGATCATCCAAAAGATGTCATCTTATACAAAAATAAGGAACCGATCATCTGTGAGTATTGTAGTCAGTCAGATCCGTCCTTTTTGATTAGACGTAGACGGTAGTATGTTGACAGGCTGTTCAAATGCATTAGGATAAATGTATCCAAATACTAGTTCACTCATTATCCTATGTCTTTTGAATAATTTAGCTACACATGCCGTTTACTTTCAGACTCCTTTTTCTAAATCATGTGAGGAAAACGTAGACTTATGTGACTATACTCTAGTTACTAGGATACCTATTACAGTAACCCAGTACTACAATCAGTAATTATTTAGCTATTTATCTTGTATAGCATGAATACTTTTGTTTTGGCTGACAACTGAAATCACTTTAACATATAATCAGCATAACAACAAGGCGAAATCATGTATATTTATTAGAAAACCTTTGGAGGTTTAAAAGCACTAACTTGAGATTCAATAGTTCAAGTTACATTGTTGAATTACGCTGACGAAAATCAAGTACTTATATGCACTCACATAGTTTTAATTGTTAATTAAAGTTCACAAATCGACAATGTGAGAAGGATCATTTGGCTAAATGGTATAACAATACTGTGCATACTTTGATTCGATCACAAACTTGAGAAACCAAAACCTAGGCTTCTCTTTCTCCTTAGCATTCATCGGTAAAATGTGCTTTATGGAAGCTTATATCTCCTGGATGATTCAGACCTAGGTAATTTAGTGTGGAATTAGGCGAATTTATTACTCATTTATACACTTGATGAACAGTCGGTATTCGATGGTTGGAGGTAGTCCGCAGGAAGCCTTGCTTGGCGTAGGTTTCGTGCTAGTTGGAACTCACCAGTCAGCAAGGAGTATCTCGAACCTCGAAGGAACCCATGTCCCTTCTGAGATGCAAACCCATGTCATCCAGTGCTACAGTCAGAGATGTATATCACTGAGCTATTCAGGTTGGCTCGCGATTGACCTCCTGTAGAACTGTACTGGATATCTTTGATTGAACACTATTAACTAGTGTGATGTGTCTAGTCCTTTGTTTGATGCAAACTGAATTCTATCAGTCAGGTTTGCAGTGTAGCCACCATGCCGCTAGATGGCTGGCCATCACGAAGCATTGTGAATTGTTGGTATGAGAAGGGACATGAGTTCCTTCAAGGTAGGAGATACTTCTTGCTGACTGGTGAGTGCCAACAAGCACGAAACATGGGGGAGACAAGGCTTCCTGCCGACTGCTTCCAACCACCTAATACCAACAATTCACAGAACACTGTGATGCCGAGCCATCGGGTGGCACGGTGGACATATTGCTAACTTGATTGATAGAATTCAGCCTGCACCAAAGATAGGACTAGACACACATACATTACACTAATTACTGACTAGTGTCCAATCAATTCATGAATGCTTTGAATAGGAATTTCCCAAGCTTTACACCATACTATTATTAGTATTCCTTCGAGTTCCAAGTGACACATAGGGTTACAGCAGCGTATCTCCACTTTGTTCTGATCTCTGCAGTTGTTGAGCCCAAACTTTCGTCTTTTCCTGGGGTTAGGATCGGATAACAAACAAACGATTTAGTAAACTCAATAAGGCTAGACCATATATATATAGAGGGAGAGAGAGAGACTGTAGATCATGGCTATTCACTCACCTTTGAATAATCCATTGATGGTGATTCAATATTTGGGAATAGGTCAGTTATAATACCTTTGAATAATGGCAAATCAACTGCAGTTAACTTCGCTAAATTCATATCATTTAATGACAACAGTAGTAATTCTTCATCTGACATATTCGGATTAGCTCGTTTCTTTTTACCAGCATAACGTAGAACAGAAACTAAAGCTCTCAGACCAAAATCGTAATGATCTTGTTTACTTAATTGTTGAACTGTTAAACTATACAAAGTGAATACTTTCTTTGCTAAAATCTATGCACAGAATAAAGTTAGAAAAAGAATGAAAATATTATTTATTATACATCATCATCATCATTAGATTACGCTTCATAACAAATACTCTTTCATTCTTCAATATTAAAAAGGTATTTATGCGAAAAAGGTGAGAACAATAAGCATTAATTCAATTCTAGGTGATTCATTGAGATTTGCAGCAAACATTCGTGATAAGACGTTTTTCTGTTCAACTAACTATCCTCAAAAGAAAAACTGTATCCCTTGTGGCTAAGGTAAGTGATAGCTCACGTTTAGCAACATGTCAAAAAGCGAGCTTGAGCATCGCTTTTGGCGGCCTGCTTAAAACTTGGGCTATAGAAAACATCCATCAATGTAGTTTGCATTTAATTTCTCTAATTCATTTTTGTTTAAATCTATTAGAGTATGACCTTCAGTAGTTTTGTTTACTCTGGTGAGTATTTAAAACATTTAAAATCTGCTGATTCTCATGTTTAATAGAAACATGAGAAAAGGCATTATCCCCGATGGTAGCTTATCCCAATACATCAGATGACCGTTTCTGAAGGGTGTCCTTGGTTTATAATTGGCATTCAACAAAATGTCATGTATTTTTCGAAAGAGAAAAAGAAGGGATATCATAGTGGAGTGGTTTGCGCTTCAGGTCAGCTAGAAATTTGTCACACGATCTACTATCAATCAATCTTTTATTTGAAGATCCTGGAATAAAAAGAGAGAATATCATGCAATAAACTGTGCTGAAAATTCTGTACATTATGTAAACATTGTTCAGAATAAAGCTATTATTATTACTGAGGTAATTCACGATGCTTCCAGTAAAACAAAAAACTTAGTAGTACGAGGTTATAAATTGGCTGAAATGTGTTTTAACTCTCTGTCACTACTTTGACAAGTATTAAATGTTAGAGAAAATTGATTCAAAGAATCCATGTATTTATTGCATCAAGGTCTAATTGTTTGGGTAAGATGGATTAGAAATCAGCGAGAGGAAAACTATCCTAGTTACAGTTATCTTCATGCAGTTGCATATAATTTAATAGTGTATTGGTCCCTTTTTGTGGCAACTGAAATTATTTATATTGCAAAGCTTAGGAAATCACATTTTTTTGTTTTTAATGCAGCCTTGCTCTTTTGCTACATTCTGAATATTTTAAAGCGGTGAGTTGTAAGGAGTTGATTAATTTAAAGGTGAATTTCGTCTCGAACCGACAATAACTATAAAAGTATTGGAAATCAGGTAACACTGGATATATGTTTCGTTCCAATTCTGGACTCGCCATCAGTCCGCACTTATAACCCCACCAACCAGGGATTGCTTCTACGAACTCTGGTTTCCAAGGTGAATCCGTTGAACATTCAACCAATGGGTTAAGATTCCTGTCTCGTGAATTATAACTTCTGTCAATTCACAATATAGTCCTGCCGTCCGTCAATGCTATCGGAGAGTATCTGTACTCACACCTGATTTGTTAGACCATGACAGTTAGAACTCTAGGAAGTCCATCCAGTACTCAGCCACTAACGAGCACCAGATCGATTTCGAGGTGTTGACTTGTTGGGATTGGATTGATTTTAGGTTAGATTTCGTCTCAAACTAACATCAATTAGAGAACTATTGGTGAAGAGTTCCTCAGTAGAGTGAAACAGCCAGTGATTCTCTAACCGATGTTGGTCTATGATAAAATCTGTACAGTAATTCCAGTTTTTCAGAGATGACAGTTTATTAATTACAGTTTCAATTTAAAATCTCATATTCAACTTTTACGAGTTACTGTAATTGTAATTAAAATTATTATTATTATTACCTCGGGTTCCGAGTGAAACGTAGGGCTTCAACAACACATCTCCACTTTCTTCTATTCTCTGCTGTCCTCTTCAGCTGGGTTCACGACTAACCATAATCTGTCATCTCTTCCTCCCCATACGATCTCCTCCATATCACCCTAGCACCGACGACCCGCTTGTCACTTCCCATTTGAATTCCACTCGAGCAATGGCCTACATTACGCGCGATGTCATTCGACGGCCTCCTCAACGTATGCCCGATCCATCTCCACTTTCTCCTACATACTTGTTGAGTGATTGGCTCTCGCTTGTTGGTTAGATACTAATTCTTTCTGGCCGGTCGGCTGGCTAGACATTTGACCTTAAATATGGAGCCAGTGAAATTGGCAGCTGTTGATAAAAGTCTTTAACTTGTTGGAAATGCTTTTCGTGACTGACACAACTGCAAGTTTTTGACCCGTATAGAAGAACTGACTGACTGAACATTTTTGTTGGAAATCCCAATCTTGTTGTTTATGCTGAGCCAGTGCAGAAGATTTCCTAACTGGTTTTGCCTTGACGAAAGCGTATCTTGTCATTCCGATTCTGACTTTGACATCTTCATCCGACCCGCCTATAGCTGAAACGATGCTTCCTAGATAAGTGAAGGAAGTGACCTCTGTCAAATCTCTCCCACTGATAGTGATTGGTGCTGGTTGTTTCTGCTGTTGGTTGAAACCGTGCTTCAATACAAATTAGATTCACACTTTTATAACAGTCTATGCTGATTTTAACCCTCTTTTGTTCAATGATTGATCCAATGAAAACTATGCTGTATCAAGATGTACACTGAAATCATTTTAATTTAAAATTAACCTAGTATATAGAATAAATTAAAACAAATGGTAACTAATAATGTAAGTGTCATAAAAATTAAAATATATCATTTATTTTTCTTATTATTACCTTAGTCGAAAAACCTTCTGCGAATAGTGTAATTTCTGCAATCATTGATGAATCTGGTACAACCATTGCTATTGGTCTGAACATAGACTTTAGATTATCAGGTAATTCTGTTCGTCCAGCATAACCAGGATTCATTGTAATAAATATACCACATGACCAAACTAATTGAATCATTCGACCTTCAAACATAAATCTTGTCTTAGCATTCTGATTACCCGACTGTTCAGCTAATGCTAATGCTGACAGAATTGAAAGAATCTGTTGAGCAACTACCGACAATACTTCAATATTAATACTATTAAAATATAATTTAAAGAAAGGAAGACAAGAATATAGAGATATTCAGTATTTTTCTACAATTAACATAGTTTAAAACGAATATATTTATAAAGAATTCAATCAAATAACGTATCACACAAAGAGATTTTAAAGTTTATAAGTGATATGACAGACCACTGACTTACCGATTGAATTCATCAAAACATCCCCATGCACCAGTTTGAGCAAGACCAGCAAACATACGACCCATTGATTTATAATCTAAACCTTCAGAACAATTGACAACGATAACATAATCACCAAGTGCTTTTCCTAAATCTTTTACTGTCTCTGTTTTACCAGTACCGGCGGGACCTTTAGGTGAACCACCTCTGTGTAGATGTAGAGCAGTTGTTAATGTAATATAACATCGATCAGTAAGAGGAGTAATCACTAAACGTCCACTATTACCCAAATATTCATAACCATATCTAAAAGATGTATTTGTTTGTCGAACAAAACAGTCATCTGGTTCCTGTGAATAGAAAGAAGTAAATTATTAGGCATTAAAATCATCTTCAATGCACAGATAAAGTCAGTTGTGCATGTTATAGACAAATGCAGTTATTCGCTTTTGTGCAAACCACTGTAAGACCTAGTTAAGCTATTGAAATGGATAGTAAGATCTTGAAAAAAACACATTTTAGAATCCTATGATCACGAGAAAACAGAACAATAAACTATTGACAGTGTATCAACTAAAAGGAAATACCACTCTGTACTGTCCAACCCAATCACTGATGGAGTTCAAAACTTTTAGAAGGTATATGGACTGAATCAAATGCAATAAGATCGGTAATTTGAGATTTTGTATTCACATTAACAGTGCGATTGGTCGGATGTTATTTACTTCGAGAAAATATTTACCTCCATTTTCAGATTACTCGTGAACTACACATTTAGTGCGTCGGTGGCACAGCGGTAGAATGCTCGCCGACCATGTACATGGACCGGGGTTCGATCCCCGGCCGACGCACTCCTTTACCTCCCTAAGCCAGTAGTAAGACTGGCAAGGAGGAAAGGTTGGGCATGAGGCTAGCAACCCCATCCTGTAAAAATAAACAACACTGCTACAGAAACTTCAAGCCTCTAGCTTGAAGCCCTATGTTCCACTGGGGAACGTGAAGGAATAAAAAAACACATTTAGACACGGAATGACTTCTATTGCATGTGTTGGATGTAGACTCAATGAAACAGGATTCAGTAATCAGTCTATCTCTCCACCCTATTATGTGGTTGTGTGCTGATGCATGCGGTGCTATTGTTGAGTTGCTTTTTAAATTACTTATCTTCGCAGGGTAAATCATTCTAACCTTAGCTAAATTCTTATGTTCTGATAATCTGACTATTCCCGATCTACTAGTTTGACCTATGCAGTTGACCTAACTCACAGTCATTGCAAGGTATTTTGTAAATTATATTATTTTGTTTAATTGGGTCAACCAACAGGGTCCTTTAACCTACAGAGCTTGTCCTACCTGAGTGAGTTTGTAGGTTTAAATGCCACTCTAATTCTTGCTTTATTAAGAATCCTACGTAGGGTCTCAGATGTCCCCTTCTTATACGGTAAAACTACTGTAGATGCCTTATATTCTTTGTTATTTGTGTTATTATTAATAGTTGCACTATTATTTTTACTTTGCTTCTGACCTTTTTTGATCCTCCTAATGAATTTTATAGGATAGTTATTTATCTTTATATCAATTTGGACACGGAGTTCATGAATATATGAGCGAGGATAAAAACATAAATCACCTCATTGAGAAAGTAAAATTGGCCTCATTTTCCAAAAATTTTGTAATGTAGAGTAGTTTCAGTAGTTTTTCAAGGCTGATATCACTGGACAGAAAATTGAAACATATCTCTAGTTAATGTCTCATACCCTATTTAATTCGTATATTAACTTAAATAGAAGATGACGTATCACTTCAAAGTTATCGCTGCATATGCTGTCAACCTTTTACTTTTTTATAAGTTGTTCGTAACATTTTGTAATTATATTAACACGTAATTTTCTTACTGAATAGTAACTACAGCTCGTAGGCAGGATCACAACACAAGAACAAGGGCTGTAATAGTGTAACAGCAGAACATGATAGTATTTGGTAGCGGAATTGTTTATGGTCAAATTGATGTACTGAAATCGCCCAAATACATATGTGGCGTGTGCTACTTACAGGATTTGTAAGTAATATATACACGTAGATATAAATGTACATATCGTCTGCAAGAATATTGAGTAGCGAATAGATGGATATAGTGATGAAGAGAAAGAATAGACGGAAGGAAGACAAGAGAAGCACAATAAGGAGAAATGTGCAAACTATGACTTCAACATAAGGTCGATGTATTTTGCCAGATCTGTACATCGAGTTGGCTGATGATGATGTGTGTAATTCGCCTAGACAACCACCTGAATGAATGCTTCCGTTGATTGTGAGGAATGATTGGAGAAGCCAATGACGACAACGATGCCGGTTACTAATACCAGTGAACAGAAGTGGACTGGTTTTATCCGCCAGTATTGTTGTTGTTGGCGTCTTGCAAGTTTTCTCATAATCATAATTGACCTCATTCAGCTGGATGTTTAACGGAAGAACACAATACTATTTCGTAATGGAATTCTTTATTGTCGACTGTGCGTACAGATATAGACAAAATACATCTACCTCCGTAATGTCGCTCTTTTGTCTTCCCTTTCATGTTTTCTATGTTGTTTCACAAGAATCGATCATCCCTTCTCTTCTCCGTTAAATCTATCCATCCCTCCACTAGTCACAATATTCTTCCAGATGATACGTACATTTGTATCTACGCGTATATATTACTTACAAATCATGTCAGTAGCATACGCCACATCAGTAGTGGTGTAATATCAAAATAACCGATATTCAGATACATAGACAGGCACAGTATTCATCAAGAAAACTCAAGTACACAGCACAAACTAAAGAATAATTAGATATTGTCAGCCAAATGGGAACATTCAACAGAATTAGAATAGTTAAACTGACAATCTTCATGAGCACCTGTTCAATAGATTAGAAACCAAATAAACAAACACAAAGGACGCTTGTTTCACAAACAAATAAATTTAGGAAAGCAAGATTATTTACAAACCAGCACCCCTGTCTTAACATGAGGAGCTTTTTAGTGTTTATAACTAATCTAAAGTGTTGATCTGTAGTCAATCTCTAATTGAATGTTCTTTTTATCTTTCATCATCTCTTTATTTTACTAAATTCTTCTAACATGTTTATTTCAAGTCTTATGAATAATGTCCCCATATGTTTTATGTGATTTTTAAAAAATAATTTATGAATTTCATTCACATATATACCCCAATTTCAACATGATTTATAACTAACCTTATCCCAATAAAATCGAAGTTGACTCAACCAATCAAAAGCATTAACATCATTACAACCAGTTTTGTAGAGTTTTTCAATAATATCTCGTTGATGAACTTCAACAACAGTTAGAGCATTAATTTTTAAACGTTGAATTTTAGTTAAATTTGAACGTATTGCTTCTGAGAATTTCTCCAGAATATTCTTTTGTTTACGTTTCAGTGTTTTCAATGGCCTTTTATCTTGTCTATGTGATACCTTTAAATTATAAACAGAAAACACTTTTACAATAGAATCAGAGAATACGTACATACATAGCAAAGGTAAAATGTGATACAGAAACCTTGTGATTATTATTATTATTATGAAATTAACAGCAATTAAATATAAGAGATTTAGGATGTTGGATGAATGTTTAGGAATCAGATTACAGGAATTGCAGTGAGGCTAAATGGGAGTTTTTTGTAGAACTCAGTCTGTTTATACTAAAGCTCCACAATGAATGCGGTTATCAGGACTACAATCTTACAAAAGCTTAAGGTTCTCCTCAATTATACCTTCACAGTAGGCTAAAGTACATTAGAACTTAAAAAAATGAAAGTGACATTGATGAAAAATCTACTTACACATAATATTACCAATGTTGGAGGGAATTTTCTGATATAGTGAGTTATAGCTGGATGTACCTGCATTTCCCTGTAAGTGAGTGATGATGTTCCAACCTAGGCTCGAACCCAGTGCCCTTAGTTTCAAATGCCAAAGCGTTATCCATTAGACCACTTGGGCCACGAGAGCCACCTCTTGTGCAAATGGGTCATATTAATTATTTAGTTGAATTTTAGATTTTTTTCGTCGATTGACATGTCGGCTTCTTGTGCAGATGCTTCGACGATGTCTGGGCATTCAATTGAATTAATATGACCCGTTGCACAAGAGGTGACTTTCGTGGCCCAAGCGGTCTAGTGGATAACGCTTTGGCGTTTGAAACTAAGGGCACTGGGTTCGAGCCTAGGTGGGAACATGATCACTCACTGGGAAATGCAGGTACATCCAGTTAATGAGTCCCAAATAGGACGAAATGCGCATTCTGGATTCCACTGCTAGTCACCATGCACAAATTAAATTCTAATTAAATGCCCAGACATCGTCGAAGCATCTGCACAAGAAGCCGACATGTCAACTTGAGATCGAGCACTTCGGATTAATCAACAGACGGGAAAATCTCAAATTCAATAAATAGTGAGTAACACTTATGAAAGGATTTAATATTTGGATTGATACATTATGATTCAGTTGATGATGATTGAGTAAAATACAAGATGTTTACTCATAATAAGTCAATATCCACTATAAGTCGTCCTCACTAGTAAATTAATTAATGATTAACTTAATAACGTAGAAATTTGCCTGAAAGTTCAGCAGTTCAACTTGCCGTAGTTCGGCAGATTATGCACAAATGTAGAGAATAGAGATGTAATGAAATTACAATGGACAAAGGTGTAAGTATTTAGAGGTAGGTAGATTAATGTAAGTTTTTAGACTACAAAAGACGACGTGATGTGTATATATCTACGCCGCTGAGAAAGATTTTGAACTGTATCACCAGAGATCTTCAAAAAATGATTGTTAGTAATTGGAAAATCTCTGTTAAGTAGTCTACATCTTCTAGTGTGTCTCAAAACAATAATCAAAGACTTAATGAATCAGTATCTTATGTCAGTTAGGTTACTTCTATTTTTTTTCCAACCTAGCGTTTAAGAGGGAAACATACCGGTAGTCATTGATTGTATACAGTTTTAGAGTGAAGATTTCTGCTTACCTCATAGTAACCCAAGGCGCAGTGTCCTGTTAAAGTAGTAACAATGGTACTCATTTTGCTAAAACTGAAATTAACAACTATTGCTTTCAAAGCTAGAGACATAATTAATTAACCTATCCATTTGAGCAAACCTCATTTAGTGGAACAGGTTATATCATCACACTACTAAAAAGACGGTTACAGTGAAGAAATTTTTCTTTTCGATGAAGTCCTTTTCTTCGCTGCAACCATCTTCTTAATAATCCCTATGATCCAATGTGTATATTCCGTGATTATCACAATAGCAAAAAATGATAAATATAAAGAAGGATGTTGTCGATTTGGGACCTAGGTTTGTTGGGCAACGACGTCAGTTGCTATATCATTCATATATAAATATCAAGTAGAAGACTTTATGAAGAAAATAATTATCCTGAAAAGACTGACACTGTAAAATGATGACTTCCTGTGTAAAAGGGTATTAAGATCCTTTTAGAAAAGCCAACCGACTGACTGTATTTAACATACCTGTTATTTCTGACAATGAAATAGACAAATAAATGGAATTGTTTGAAGGGCACGTTTAATCAAAACAACCCAGATATTTAGATTTTTGGTAATAGACACGTCGCTAAGATACTCAAACACATAGGATTATGATTGAACTACAGTCTGAGCATATTTTACTCCAATTTATTTGAATAGTTTAGCAGCATGTCTTATGCTGTCAGCTGATATTTTATAGCCTAAAATAATTTCAACCTTATAACGTTTGAATTGAACAAGATTATGCTTTCGCGCTGTAAAAAATAGTTTGTAAACTGTCTTGTCTGCCTCGTAAAGTTGACTGACAACTGTCGTATTTAGAGTGAAAGTAAAATGTGGAGTACAGACTTCCTCCTACTTATTTTCTTTTATTTCCCCATCGTTAATCTTATTTATGAAGCATTATTACTTACGAGTTGTATGCGTCGGTGGCACAGTGTTAGAATGCTCGCCAATCACGCAGGTGGTCCGGGGTTCGATCCCCGGCTACCGACGCCCTCCTTTACCTCGGTAAGCCGGCAATAAGACTGTTGAAGAGGGAAGGTTGGGCGTGAGGCAAGCAACTCCATCCCGTAAAAATAAACATCACTGCTACTGAAACTTCAGACCTCTAGCCTGAAGCCCTATGTTCCACTGGGAACGTAAATGATTAGAAAGACTACTTACCAGTTGTAAGGCTTTTGTAACATCAGATGTCCATTGAATTTGACTTGATGTAATACACAATTGTCCAGGCCATTCTTTAATAAATTTATCACGTTTATTAGCTGCTTTCTTTAAAGCGAATCTGCACTCTCTTAACATATCTCTCAACGTTTTATACATTTGATCTTCTACATCACACAGCCATGATTCTACAGGCCCGTCAAGACGAACTTTATTTTTAAACTGTACTTCTTCACCGTCCAATGAAAACATTGAAACAGCATCAAATAATGATATACTTGTCTGTATAAAAAAGAGCAATAAAACGCAGGGGATAAGACATTACTCTAACATTTCTAATAAAAAGCGTACTTGAAACAACTGAACGATTAAATCTGTTAGCAATTACATACCAAATATGCAGTTCCAACCTAACTGACGTAGAAATTTTTTTAATGAAAAAATAAGTTTTTATGACAAATTAAGGTTAATAGATGTTGTCTGATGTTGAAATTAAAATATAGGTCGTGTCAAGATGCGAACCAGCGGCCTCCGAATAACAATCCCAGCACTCTAGCAGCTGAGCCATCAGACCATCATTTTCCTCCAGTCATCACGGATACTGTTCATCTGTGATGTGAATGAGTGATATGTCGCCATTCACAGTAGCTACCCAGCTACTTCATCTATCAATCCTAATCAAACTGAATTAGAAAAAGAGGAACCGATTGTTCATTGATCGTGCAAATATTTAGAATTGTTGGTATTAGATGGTTGGAGGTAATCGGGAGGAAGCCTTAGACCTAGGTTTCGTGCTAGTTGGCACTCATCAGCAAAGCGTGTCTGCAACCTCAAAAGAACTCATGTCCCTTCTGAGATTCGGACCCTCGCCACCCAGTGCGTTCTGAAGTCAGAGGCGTCACCACTGAGACATTCAGGCTCGTGATTGACCTCCTGTAGGACTGTATTGCCTTGCTGATGAGTGCCAAATAGCACGAAACCTAGGTCTAAGGCTTCCTCCCGATTACCTCCAACCATCTAATACCAACAATTCACAGTGCACGTGATGGTGTGCCATAGTGGTCACATTGCAAACTTGACTGATAGAATCCAGTCTGCACCAAAGATAGAACTGGACACACACACACACATTACACTAATTACTGACTAGTGTGCAATCAAGAATAGCCTTAGGATGGAGGACTATTATTGATGCAGTCAACTGTATCATGACAAAGTATTGGTGGAACAGTAAGCTGCGTTAAAATTATCAGGAACAAGTACTACTGAAAGACGCATGTAAATATTTTCCCTTCCAATAACCTGGAAATGATGGCTGGAAACTCTGTGGATCCCCCTTTCTGGCTGAAAGTGTATTTACACCAACGAAATGTATTCAATATTCCGCCAAACAGTCTCAACATATATGTTGCTTTTCTTTTTATCATATAGTTTCATATATCTTATTTTAGTCTGTGACTTTTAAAGGTTAGTTACTATTTGTCTATTTTTTTATGCACCTCACCATCAAATTTTTAGGTGGTTATATACAGTAATCATCTCAATAAAACAAAGATACCGTGTGAATTTTAAAAATTTTAAGTCTTATTCTGACTGATGATGATTAGTAGTGGAGTCCAGAATGCTCCTTCGGCCTTATTTTATTTCGAACTCGTCAGCTAGATGTACCTGCTACTGTCAGTGAGTGATGATGTCCCCACTGAGACTCGAACTGTGCACCTATTATTTCAAACCCTAAAGCGTTGTCTACAAGGCCACGAAGGCGAAGACAGCCACCTCTTGTGAGGCTCTTGAAGTTTGAAATCTAAGATATAAGGACACTAATCCATGTGTTGTTAACAGAAATTAAGAAATAAAGAAATAAATAAACAACTGTATCCTAAAAGATTGATAATGCAATGGAAACGACTGGGATAACCTGAGGCAAACAAACAAACAAACAAAAACAAACCAACGACAACAACTTTTAGAAAAACTGAAAACGAATAACAGTTTTTTTTTTAAATTTTTCAACTTATGCGTTAAACCAACCGGTGTATGCTTAATCTTAGTGACAGGTGTAGTAGGAGTAGTAGTAGTAGTCGTCATTGTACTAGTGGTAGCAGCAAAAGCAGTTGGTGGCTGAACACTTTGAACAGTTGGTACTACTTGTGAAACTGTTTGCTTAGATGCACTACTACTAGGTAGTGGTAGTATATGATCAACATCTGACTCAGCATGTTCTTCATTGATAACTTTTATTAAACCTGGTTCAGAATTAGTCTGATCATTTGATTTTGATTCATCATTTAATGCATCAGTTTTACCATCTAATAGCAAATTATTCGCCTCTAAATTAACAGAATCATTGAATTCATTATCATTTTTATCTTCATTATTTATTGTTGTACTACTATGCATCTCTTCAATTTGTTCACCATTTACCAGATTCACATTTGATTCATTTAACATGGATGAATTTAAATTTGATGTTTGATGATGATGATTAGATGGAGCATCATTATGATTTCCAGGTGTATTATTAGCTGTAACAGGTTGACTGCCTGGAACAGGTGTTGCAATTGACTTTTTATGTCCACTATTAGCACCTGTACCATCTGTAGAATTATGCCCATGTATCTCAATAATTGTTCGTCTTAATCTTGATTGAATAACATTGGCATGTCTTGAAGTGTCAGATTTAATAACAACCTACATTGAAAATAATTTTATCTTTTTTTAAAGCAACTCCATTTGTTCATTACACGAATGGTATAGTTTGATCATTAGTAATAATGAGAAAGTGATCGGGAAGCAAGTGAATTACGTTAGTATAGGAGCAGAACTTGAGCACTAATATACTATGACGTAATTCCATACTTTTTGTTTAGTAGGTGTAACACAGGGTGATTCAGTATTATTTACCGATAACGTTTCAGGCTTGTGCTAAATCTTGTATTTATACAATAAACCAGCATTTTCTTTTCTACTGCGATGAAATAAACAACTGCTAAGTAAACATATAACTTCTTCGGATGGCACCTATATTTCTGAAACTATAAATCTTTCAAATATATGACTTTCAGTTCTTTTTCTACAGTTTGGTTTGTAAGGACTAGTTTTGTTTTTGCGAGTTGATTCATGAGCCATTGAATCGAGTCCCAGTGGCTGAATGGCATACGAGCTTGCCTTGTAACTGGAAGGTCCTGGTTTTGAACCCTGACAGTGGGTGCGTACTGCCGATGATTCCCAAACTAGGATGAAACAGCAGCTGTCCAGTACACCCTGGTTTTCGATGGTTCTCTTACTGATATCAATCCGTGATCAACTCGTAAAAACTTTTAGTTCTTACCCAGAATTAATAGAATGCGTTGGTGATTTAGTCGTAGAATGCTGACCAACTGCGTAGGTAGTCCGAGTTCTATTCCAGGCCGTTGCACTCCTAAACATTACTTGGCCTACAGTAAGCCTAGTAAAGACGAGAAAGATTGGGCGCGAGACTAGCAATCCCACTCCGTGAAAACACTACCTCTGATAGTGATGATAATAATAATACCAATGATGACGTGCATGTCAAAACCTGCACAGGATAATGACAACACCAATAATATGGAAAATAAGTCATCAGTAGTACTCCCATACAGAGAAGGAACCTCGGAAACCTTATGCAGAATTCTTAACAGTGCAGGAATAAAAGTGGTATTCAAACCCACGAACTCAATTAGAAATAAGCTTTGTCGGTTGAAGGATTCAGTGGAGCCAATTAAACAAAACAGTTTAGTTTATCTAATACCCTGCCTGCAATAACTGTCAGGTCAAATGCATAGGTCACAGTAGTAGAACAGGGGCAGTCAGACTAGCTGAACATAAAATCTTAGCAAAATCTAGATTAGTTGACCCTAATAATAAGATAAGAAATCTAGAGAATAGTTCAGCTATAGGACTACATGCAATTACACACAACCATTCAATAGGATGGGATAGGATGACAGTTTTAAAGTCTAATGTCACAAAGTGGAGGGAGACATTGATAACTGAGGCTTTGTTTATCGAATCAACTGCCAATACGTGTAATAGGAATGATTCAACACCTGTCCCAGATATCTGGAAAATTCTACTACCTCTACGACAAATAGGAGAGGACAAAGAAAAATATAAAGCTCACGTTTCGAGGTCGTGTGATTATAATTGATGGCATGATTATGAACGATAAATTGTGTTCGAAACGTCATCCAGTAAATAATACTGTTTCACTGTGTGATATATCTAATAAAGAAATTAATGTGGAGTTATCACGTATAATTAGCAACTAAGTAAAGACCTGAATATAGTGCAGTTAAAACTGTAGCATTTTGGATACGATTTACTTAGGTCGGTCGGTCGGTTTTCGACATAGAACTTTGCACATATGTGCGCCAGTTCAAGTCGCCACACTCCCTCCATGTAGCACACAAAGAAAGAGAAGAAAATAGGAGAAATGCATATTAGAGACAGTAAACAGAGGTGTGAGACAAAGGAATAGTAATAACGAAGAACAAAACAGTTTAATTGGAAATCATAAGTCACAAGGAGTGGATGCATCTGCGCCAGCCATTGAGAACGATTTTGAGCCATGTCACCAATTGTTTCCAACCATTGGTTTTTACCATCCCGAGGGTCCCAACCAGGAAGTCTACATCTTCCTACGTGGCTTAGATTAACTGTTGTGGATTTCATTGATTGGTGCCATGTTTTGGTTTGACCGCCGCTAGCTCTTTTCCAGCCTGACCCTATATCAGCTAACATTGCCCGTCGAGGAAGGCGATGACTAGGCATACGTAGCACATGTCCTAACCATCTCAGTCGATGTAATTTCGCAGTCTCGTCGACTGATTTCCCCTCCTTACCTAGCACTCGACTGAAGACTAACCTCAATATTGCTCACCTTATTGTACCACTTCACACGGGAGATAGAACGCAGACACCTATGATCGAAGACAGTTAATCTTTTCATGTCTTCCACTCTCAGTGGCCAGGTCTCACAGCCATTAAGGAGGACGGAGCGGACTGTTGAGCAGTACACACGCCCTTGGTCACGATTTACTCAGCTACTGAAGTAAGTGTGAGACATGCTTCGCTTCACATTAGTCACAACAAAGGCTTCAAAAACATCAATTTTGCTAATGAAGAGAAAGAACTATTTCAATGCAGACTTTGTCACGAAGTGACATCGGTTAGAGAATCATGGGAAATCAGTGGGACGATGGACAGGCGTGTCAGCGCTGTTTAGTACTCATAGCGGTGCCCTCCCACGACGCTACTAGAGATCGAAACCACCACCTCCACGTAACAACTTTAGGCTAGTTAAGACAGTATGACAGAGCAGTATCAGGAATTAAACTCATAAATGGTGTATATTGTCAAACTAGGCAACAAACTTCTTAGAACTATAAGAAGATGTGAATGTCGTGATCTCAAAAAGGTATGCATGATTGAATTTTTGCACTACTTTTCAGGCATTGACACTGAATACTTATTTTATTATATATTTTTAAGCTTAACTTTGGTCTTTCATTTATTGACAGACTGCCTGTTATTCGAATATAACAGTACATTAGCTAAATTGTATTATTATTATTATGCGTCTTTAGAAGTTACTTACATGACCAGTTAATTAATATATACAAAACTGGACGGAATTAGTTCGTTCATATCATGTGTTGTGTCAAACAGCTTCGCCTTTTATTATTATTATAATAGAGATTGAGTTGCAGAAGAGTGATACATTAATTAGACAGAATACAAAATGATTACGGGGATACTGAGTGTAAGAAGATTTGAGATTTTATATATATATATATATATATATAATAAAATTCCCTTACAAGAAGTGTAAGTAATTTCAAGTAAAACCAAAGATTTTCCCAAGAGAGTTACTCAAGAAATAAATGGCCCAATAGCATAGTATTTAACAAATCTTTTAAATTTTTTTATAGGTTATTAAATCCCAAAATACTGATTACTGAAGAAGAAATATACTTTTCGATAACTTCTTCATCAGCTTCTACAGTTGTATATCCACAGCAATGAAAGAATTAGGGTTATTAACAACATTAATGTTTCAATAACATAGAGAAGACGGAGGTGATGAAGATAACCAACCAACAAACAGCAACAATAACAACCAGCATCAATCACCATCAACGGAAGAGATCTAACAGAGATCACTTCCTTCACCTATCTAGGAAGCATCGTTCCAGCTACAGGCGGAATGGATGAAGATGTCAAAGCCAGCCAACAAGCCAGCCAGAATCAGAAAGGCAAGATACGCTTTCATCAACCTGAAATCAGTTTGAAAATCTTCTACACTAACTCAGCCAGCATAAAGAATAAGATTCGGATTTTCAACACAAATGTGAAGTTAGTCAGTCATTTCCTTTATGCATGTCAGAAACTTGCAGTGCGTGTCATTCACCAAAAGCATTTCCAACAAGTTAAAGACTTTTATCAACTTCTGGTAACTTCACTGGCTCCATATTTAAGGTCAAATGTCTAGCCAACCAACCGGCCAGAAAGAATTAGTAACAAGAAACTCTGCAGTGGAACAAACCAACAGGCGTGAGCCAATCACTCAACAAATATGTAGGAGGAAGTGGAGATGGGTCGGGCATAAGTTCAGGTGGCCGTTGAATTACATCGTGCTCAATGCAGGTCATGGCTTGAGTGGAATCCAAACGGTAAGTGACAAGTGGGTCGTCGATGCGAGGGTGAAATGGAGGAGATCATGTGAGTTAGAGGAGATGACAGATTGTGGTCAGTCGTGGAGCCAGATGAAGAGGACAGCAGAAAATGGAAAAAAGTGGATATGTGTTGTTGAAACCCTATGTTTCACACGGAACCCAAGGGAATAATAATAATAACATCAAAAGAATACCGTCAACAGATTACAGTTCAATAGCATCTGTAAACGTGATAATCTGCATCAATATATCAGAAAAATTAGGGAAAATAATAATACACAATTCATGAATTAATAAGATCCACAGAAGACCAGGGCAGTAATAGTGGCTAGACCTGTTTCTTCTGCACACTTAGCACCGGCTGTTTCGTGGGAATCGCAATAGCCTCTACTGTTTGGAGTATTCAGTACCTGGATGCTTTTGGCAATTTATTTGGTACCTATACAACTATATATGCTATTGAACTGTAATCTGTTGATATTATTGATTCGACATTATTTAAACACTAATGCTGTTAATAATCCTAATTCTTCCATTGTTATGTATATATAAATGTAGAAGCTGATGAAGAAGTTATCGAAAAGTATATTTGTTCTTCAGTAATCAGTCTTTTTTAATTTCTAACGGGCATTTTTCATCAATTATTAAACCCGTCAAATCATCTTCTCCAGTATTTCAGTTTGCTAAAATAAGTACAAAGAATATAAATTTAAAGATGGCACATTATAGTCACTTTTACTCAAGATACATTTCAGATATCATAGCTCTACACATCAGTCCTATACCGGAAAAATAGAACCATAGCAAGTCAGTATTTGACACAGAAAAACAAAATTTTGCATAAAACAAACAAAGATCCATATAAGTAAACTTACATCCTTATAAGAAGCGGACGAAAGATCAGTCAAATAAGGATTTATGTTTACTTAATGAAGGATATGAATGAAGAACAAAATAATGGAAATACAAAAACAGATGATTGTATTCAATTTTTTAACGACATATTGTGGTAAGAGCTAGCTGCTAGCCAAAATTGGTAGACAGTAATTTACGTCAATTTAATTGAATTTTAGATTTTCCCGTCGATTGATTGGACCGAAGTGCTCGGTCTCAGGGTGACTTGTCGGCTTCTTGTACAGATGCTTCGATGACGTCTGGGCATTTAATTAGTATTTAATTGGTGGATGGTGACTAGCAGTGGAATCCAGGATGCGCATTTCGTCCTATTTGGGACTCGTCATCTAGATGTACCTGCATTTCTCAGTGAGTGATGATGTTCCCACCGAGGCTCGAACCCAGTGCCCATAGTTTCAAACGCCAAAGCGTTATCCACTAGACCAACTGGACCACGAGAGCCACCTCTTGTGTAACGGGTCATATTGATTTAATTGACGTCGACGACAATTTACGTCAAAGTTCACGTGTCCAATATTGTTCGTGAGAAAAATAAGAACAAAGACTGATTCAACAATCAATCACCGCAGATTTTACTTGGGCGGATACAATTTGCAGATAGATAATCTGACGTTCAAGAAACAGCCACAAAGAGATGAAAGTTTAACGTTCAGCGAGAAACCACCAATCAGAAGACTGTTTTTGTTTGCTTACAATAATCTATAATAATTTACATGAAAATCTATAAATATGTGTTGATTTCCTAAATAAACGATCTCTTTCCTGGCCCTTGTCTTCCGTTGTTACAATATTACATAATGACTCTATTAGAGCCTTCTCGCCATTCGTATCTATGATATTAAGCATGTGCAAACCTAGGATAAACACTCTTGAATGATTTGCACTAATAGTCAAGCGAAACATATTAATTAGTAAATAGAAAAATGTTACATTTTCCACAAGTAAACACAAGTTTAATTTTTTTGTCTTTACCTTTTCTAATCTCAAAAGATTGATGTTATCGAAGCATTTCTTTAAATGTGGCATAACAGCTTCTGGGTTTCTGCCTTGCCCCAAAACTTCTAACAGATCATCATTTGATATAAAATAGAATCGTGGAAATATCTGACGCTTTGTCTCCAAGTACATATCCAATGATTGTTGTATTTCATCTAAACTTTGAACAAGTTTACATAGTTGATCTAATAAACCTGTAAACACCGAAAAGAAAAAGTAGAATATGGCTTAGTGTTAACAGATTCAACCAATTGGGTCTTGATCAAGTGGCTTATTTTTTTTATAATTCTGAACAGTGTAATGCCAGTTGTCCAGAATCTTCAGTTCCATAAGCTGGAAAGATCTGCAGACACATACATAGACAAAACATTGTAATGTAATAGAAGCAAGTTATAGACGAAATACTAACTGATATTCTGCTTTCTTCTGTTGTAAGAAGAGACTCTGACAAAGAAGGATCAACAACTTCAAAGACTTAACTTTAACAGAGATCAGACAAATCAGTGGATAGTTGAGGCTTGATTTGTGCTTTCCAAGTTTTGATTTGTGCTGAACTAATGCTCCTTTCCAAAATCGAGTTCTGTTTTCACTACCTGATTAGCTGTTGATTTGTCTGTAATAAAGTAACCCGGAAAGTTTGTACCGTTCTAATTTATAGTTGTATTTAATAAAAATAAAGAGAAAGAATTTCAAATATCTTCATCTCTGGTGTAGGCATAATATCTGCCTATCCTCCAGATAACGAGTGTACTGTACAGAAGTTCGCCTTGTCCTTCCTTCTTTACGATTAAGAGGCATGGCTGTGAAAACTGGAAGACAGGAAAAATCGACCGTTTATGACCATCGGCGCTTATATTCTGTCTATTGTATTAGATAGTGCAACCGGGTGAGTGATAATTAGGTTTGACATAGAGTATTAGGTAATGAGGGGGGTCAACACATGAGACTGTAAAGCTTCATCGACAGAGATGGCCAGGAAATATCTTAGATATGCTGCGCTACAGCCTTCCACGACGAGTGATATTAACTGAAGTAGGATTTGGTTAGTCGGATAGAAGCATGGCAACAATCCATGAGGTCTTTGACTGCTGGTTTGGGCCATTTATGCAGGTGTATACCAGGAATCAATATTTTGTGACTGGTTCAAGGTGAAATAAATAAAACTGGGAAAGATGAAGGGTCAGATAATAAATAAAATCTGATCGGCAGCATAGTTAATCCTTAAATAATCTTAGAATTAGTATACAGCATAGTTAAAGGGGTGGTGAATTAGAGTTAATAATAGGCGTTTAAAAAGAAAGCAAACATAAACAAGGGTATTCAGTTGGCTGATGGTGACTAGCAGTGGAATCCAGTATGCGTATTTCGTCCTACTTAGGACTCGTCATCTGGATGTGCCTGAATTCCCCAGTGACTGATTATGTTCTCACCGAGGCTTGATTTTCCTGCTAGTCACCATCAACCAATTGACTTCAAGTTACATGACCAGACATTGTCGAAGCATCTGCACAAGAAGCTGCCGACATGTCAACCTGAGACCGAGTACTTCGGTTCAATCAATCAACGGGAAAATCTAAATCGAATTATATGAACAAGTGTATATATCCTGCCGTTTATGTTGTCTGTATATCTACCTACGTACAGGCGACTTAAATTTCCCCACAAAGACATATATTATTTTACTGTTCTCATTAATAAGTCTAACTTCGTATATTTTCATTTTTCATGAGTTTCAAGTTTATTTTGATCATTTGCAATTAGTAGTGTTCTCTGAGCTGGTTGGTTTAGTTGAGGAGCTTTCGTCGTCCTTCTGGACAACATCTTCAGCGCAATTTTTAGCATAAAGTGAACTGATTTTAATTTTCCATGAGTCATAGAATTGCGTCTCCCGGTAACCATCTTTACATATGTATTAATCATTTTGATCATACTTCCTACAAAGCAACATGGGTGACTGAATATTTGTTCAAAGTTAAATACGCGAAAGAATAATCCTTAGGTGATTTGTAAGAACCAATCATCAAATCTGCTACTTTTCACTTTTAATATGAATTTATAAAAATCAATAAATGTGCATATCCCAACCTACAATCAATCATTAAATCATACTAACCTGGTTTACTTGCACATGCTCGTGTATTACGTGTTTCATATAAAAACATTGTAATAGCTTGCCATTGAATATTAATCATATCAAATGCTGCCGATTCTTTTGGTAACTGTTTACGTATATCTTCTCCTAGAAATATTGTTTCCATATACATATACTGTCTTTGTACAGTTAATAAATATTCAACAGTTTCTGTAATTAATGACAGGACACGTTCCCATACATCGACTAAATATTCAAAGGGTTTAACAAACCGGGATGTTTTCATTGTAGACAATTGAACCTAGGCAAATGAATAATTCAAGTATAAAGTAAGTTAATGTAGCGTTCTGTAAATGTTTTTATTTATTTTAAAAACTATTCATATTATTTTTATTCATTTATGCTGCATGGTTACGAAGAGGTGGAAGCGGAGCTATAACAAGCGCAATCTTTGAACAGAACATATGGTTTTTAATGATCACCCTATCTCTACAGCCTCCGCCTTTAAAGTCATCTACGAGGCGAAAAGTATTCTACCCAAATCATTAAGTATCCCACTCATCTGTATTGCTGAAGCATTGGCCATCGAAACAGAAAAGCCAGATCTCTGTGTACAGAAAAAGTTCGTTCAACCCCTCCAACTTTCATGGTCTTAATCCCTCTATGCTAAAGCATGGTAATCCCTAATCTTATTTTCGCTCTACCAATTTTGTTCATTTTGTCTATTCAATTTGTATGCTCTTCCTTTATTACGTCAATTGTTACTATTACTATTCTCACTCTGAACTGTCCCCGGTGTTATTTCACTTGTTCCACTTGTCATTCTAAATTAATTCTGTTTTGCAACATTAAATTCTATGTTATCAAATCTCACACAAGATTAAGTAACGTTTTTTAATTTTATACGATTTGTTTACTAATCCTATAATTGCACACCCTTTCCAAGTTCTATCCATCCTATGAATTATCCTATGTATGAAATTAATTGTTTTGCCACTTGACATTTAACTATGATTATAATCACAAACATTTTAGTTTTATTGCATGGAGGATTTCATCATGAGCCGACATCAGTTAGAGAACCACTGGAAAACCTGGGAGTACTAGACAGCTGTTTCGTCCTAGTTTGGGAGTCTCCAGCAGTACGCGCCCACCGGGATTCGAACCCAGGACCTTCTGGTTATAAGGCGAGCTCGTAGGGTACAGCAGGTTGAAGATGAGGCAGTAACTCATCTAAAAAGACATTGCGAAATGGTCGCGCTATGTCGTGAATTGGCAGAAGTTAGAATTCAAGGACCATTGGATCGGGTCCCAGTGGCTCAATGGTCTACGAGCTCGTTTTCTTCTCTTGGATCTTTTGTTTCGCACAATATCGAATGAAGCGATTATGCTGCCTTGTTTGCTATATCTATTTTCAACGGTCTTAATATTCTAGCTGTTATTTCAGAGGTATTTTCTATATATATGGTAGGATGAATTTTCTTGTGGTCTTTCATGTTGGCTTTTTTTGGTGTTATGACTCGATTTTAAACACTTTTTGATGAAATTGTGAGGATATGCACGCTTTTTGAAGACCGTTAGTAGGTATTTTTCCTCCATTCTCTCCAACACCGGAGTGCTACAGTGTGTTTGAGCTCTTTTATGCCAACATTGAACAATTTCAAATTACAAATGACTAAACCTATTTTGTTCAATGTTTTCCATCACTTGATATTAAAGTATATATCAAAATCACAAACCTCAGATCCGAAGACCGTTACATAGGTAAAGATATGTAAGAGGGTATTTCATCCTTTAAGAAGTAACTTATGCTTAAGATTATACCTTTATACAGTATGAGTTCCATTGAAACATGAGGCTGAATGTAATGAAACTTGTACGTTGGTGGCACAGTGGTAGGATACTCGCGAATCACGCATGTGACCTGGGGATCGATCCCCTGTCGACGCACTCCTTTACCTCCCTAAGCCAGTAATAAGACCGGTAGAAAGGGAAGGTCGGACATGAGGTTAGAAACCCCATCCCGTAAAAATAAATACCACTGCTACCGAAACTTCAAGCCTCTAGCATGAAACCCTATGTTCCACTGGGAACTTGAGGGAATTAAAAAAATACCTGAAATACCAATACTTGGAAGTTAATGAGGTGGTCACTAGCGACTGGACCTATTCAGGTAGGTAGTTACCTGGGGTTATAGTGGCAAGCCGTGACCAGTAGGGTGCGGCAGGTTGGGTGTGAGAACAAATACTCGCCGAGGACATTGGCAAGCGGTCAAGTTGTGTAGTGAATGGACAGAATTTGGAATTCATGGGCTGGCTATTGAATCGGGTTCCAGTGGCTTAATCGTCTATGAGCTCGCCTTGTCACCAGAAGGTCCTGGGTTCGAACCCCGGTGTGTGCAATTCTGAAGAGTCCCAGGCTAAGAATAGACAGCTGTCCAGTACTCCCTGCAGGTTTTCCATTGGTCCTCCAACTGATTTCAGCTCATGTTGAAATCCTGTAACCAATCGGTCATATTCCTACATGTCAATACTTGAAATAAAATAAGTGAAACTTCACTTCTATGAATTTACACATGGTATAGATTTACTTTTTAGCATTACCAATTTTTGTTTTTTTACCTGATTATCTTCTAATGCTTCAAATATTTCATCTGTAGATCGAATTTTATAAGTATTTTTATCTTTATATGGTACCATATCAAGTTCATTATTTTGCCATAAACGTTCCATAGCGTCTAAAGCTTTTTCAATGGCTAATTCTTTAGTTGCTGCACTTGAAATCTCATTAACTAAATCTGAATATTGTTCAAATCCTAATTGAATAATAGATTCTAATGTAAAATTTTCAGAATTCACATCAAATTGTTTATTCATTTCTTCTTTTAAACGATCCCAATGTCTTGTACGCATAGCTGGATTACGTAAATCTGTAATCAATGGCATTGTACGTCGAAATTGATCGACTCGTGCTTTACTGATATCAATTACTTCCCAATTTCTTTCCTGTGTAAGAAATGAGGTAAACATAAAACAGAATAAAGAATATGAGTGTGTTACAACTGAATGAAAAGGGTTTAACCGTTTGAAGTTTACAAATAAAAAATCATTTTTCACATGTGTGTAATTATGTAATGAATCACTATGACAGAGTGTTTGACTGTTAATCAAAAGTGCATTGCCAGTAGGATACACTAGTGGGACATCACTAACAAGAATCAAAGTGATCAGAATAGCGGATAAGTGTTTTACACTTTTGAGGCCTCTTCAGCTGGCTAGCCTCACGACTGCCCACAGTCTCTCATCTTCTCCTTGCAAGATCTCCTACAAGTCACCCTCGTGCCGATGACCCACTCATCCCTTCCCATTCGGATACCACTCAAGGGCCTGACGCGAAGTCATTTGACGGTTTCCTCAATGTATGCCCGACCCATCTCCACTTTCTCCTACAGGGTTGTTGAGCAATCGACTCTCGCCTGTTAGTTTGTTCCCAGCCAGCCAGAGTTTCTTCTTGCTAATTCATTCTCGCCAACCGGCCGGCCATTTGGTCTTCAATTAAGAGCCAGTGAAGTTGGCAGCTATTGATGAAAGTCTTCAACCTGTTGGAAATGCTTTTCGTGACTGACACGCACTGCAAGTTTCTGACACATATAGAAAAAATGACTGACTAACTTCACATTTGTGTTGAAAATCTGAATGTTGTTCCTCATGCTGCGGAGTGCAAAAGATTTCGAAGCATCACGCGAGAAATAGGATCATCTTATAAAAAGATTTATTTCAAAATGAAAACCCTAAACTTCATCATCAGATAATAAATTATAAACTGGAGTGAATGAATAGTTAAAATAAAAAATTCTTCTCTGTAATTATTGTCCGAAGTCTCACCAAATGAATTAATAAAAGTAACAAGAAATGAAGAAATAAATATATATAAATAAATGGACAAGTATTCGACAACTGCAGAAAATTAAATTTTGAAGGCATTTATTGTTGCTGAGATCCATTCTTAGAAATAGAAATAAGCACCTTCCACCACTGATTTGTATTATCTCGTGACGTGTGACGTGTGCTACCGATAAGATTTATCAGTTGTATATAAAGAGACGTACATCGGCATAAAAACATCAAATAGCAGGAATATACATTTGATGTCAGCGAAAGCAAATGACACAGCGTTGCCGAGATACATGCGAGACTTAAAAGGAACACAAAGAAACACAATATGAAGGAAGGTCAGATTTAGCACAACACGGAAGATCTGTGTAAATGGTGCGTTGAAGATAAGGTGTACATAATATGGCTATATGGAGACACCAAATAGCTAAATAAACATTCCTTTACTAACTCTTTCGTCTTCTACTGTTACACTAATAGTTCCAGAGAATTAAACATATTCAATGAAGGTAAAGTGGGTTCATTTATACCTACTGTGAAGCGAAAATTACCTAGTCAATTATTATTATATATTATTGTTTCCTTTAATTCCTAGAGGAACATAGGGCTTCAGCCGTGCGTCTCCATTGCGTTCGGTCCTCTGCCAGAGTTTTCACCTGGCTCCAAGTCTGTCCACATGCTTTCATCTCCTCTTCACATGACCTCCTCCAAGTCACCCTTGCACTGACGAACAACTCACCGCTTCCCTTTCGGCCAGGTTCCACTCGAGCAATGGCTTGTCTAGTGATGTCACTTGATGGTTTGTTTCCTCAGAGTATGGCCAGCCAATCCATCTCCATTTCTTCCTGCCTATTTGTTCCATAATCGGTTCCTGGTTGGTTTGTTCATTGCCAGAGATTTCTGTTGCTGATCTTTTCTGGTTGGCCACCTGATCTTGAGTATTGAGCGAGGACAACTGTTAATGGAGGTCTGTAGTTTGTTTGAGATGCTCTTTATGAAGCGCAGTGCAAGTCTCTGACCCGTGTGGCAAGTGGCACTGACTTCACATTGGAGTTGAAAATCCGGATGTTATTTTTGATGCTGAGTGCTGTTGACTTTCACACAGACTTGAGAGTAATGAAAGCTTGTCTTGCTTTTCTAATTCTTGCTTTGATATCCTCGTCAGTTCCGTTCTCCTGTAGTTGAAGCGATGCTTCCGGTGTCGGTAGGTAAAAGAGGTAGTTTCTCTCAGGTTCCTCCCATTTTTGCTGATTGTTTTCTGTTGTTGTTGTTGTTGGTGGTGGTGTTGGCCAGGAATCTTCATCACCTCTCTTTTCTCTATGTTCACCTGGAGTCCTATCTTTACTGGATGCTTCTTCTACCAACTTGTTGCATTTCCCTTGCATATCTTCCAGTTTGTGGGAAATCAGACGTATATCGTCGGCGAAGTCCACATCCTCCAAGTTTTTTGTGTGAGTCCATTTTATGCCTGTTTCCTCATTGTCCGCTGTTTGTCGCACTATCCAATCTACTACAATCAGTCAATAAAGGTGATAAAATGGATTAGAAAATAAGAAGTGAATAGACAACTTGAGAAACCAATCGATCTAAGCGCCAGTTAAAGTGGAATTAACACATCTACCTTTAAAACTTATAAAAACTGTACTCTAGTACACGAACGACATAAGCTGTCAAAAAAAGAAAAAGAAAATGGCATGGATCTTTTGAGTAGAGAATTTACCTAATCTATTATAATTTCGTATGGAAAGTTGTTTTCTCTTGTTGTTGTTGTTAGACAACTATTTGTTCGACTAACACTTATTTGTAAGGGAATTTAGGTGATTGAATTCATTTTTACTGAGAAAAGATTTTCAAAGACTAACTTTAATAATATTGGTAACAGGATGTCTAAAGAGCGCATAAGACTATACAAGAACATCTCACGGGTAATTGTTTTGTCACACATTCAGACTAAAACTATACCATTCAATTTCAAAGTAGGTTTACGTACAATATTTTGAAACATATTGGAGATTTGTAGCTTGGGTGAATGCCATCAATGTGATACTGTTCTCAACCTGTTTAAAATAGTATCACCAATCATATTCAAGTTTATAAATAATGATATTGGAGAAGAAAAAGCTCTTGAGTATATTTGTGGTGGTTATAGTTCGTATCAACAGAAACAAACAGCTTAACAAAGACATGAAGTTTCATTTGCCTTACTTCCAGATAACACCGGAAAGTTGAAGGAGGAACAGATCTGATCACATTATACTAAATTTCTATAGATTGGTTTGTAAGGATTATGATAGCATTATTAGAAGACGGAGATTATCTGAAAAATGTGATGTATTAGCGCTATACATTTCGAACAATCTGATCACACATTTACTTGTCAAGTCAATATATATGGAAAGGTTAAATTAAACAAGGTGACAAAAAAAAGAATTAAGAATAATTAACACAAACGTTTGGTAATCCAATCAAATAAGGATTACCAAGGTAGGTTAAGAGTAATAACAAACTGTTTATGAATACACAAGGGGGGCTTAAGTTTATGAATGGCTATAGCCTCAGCGTATTTCAGTAAACGTCCTTGACCGTTTTTATAGATGACCTTAAAGGCTGAGTTAACATCAACCTTATGGTTCATATCGATTAAATGTTTAGCTATAGACGAAGTTGGTAGTCTGGCACCTGCATCTATGGGCTTGTCACAATTCATCTGTTTTCCTAACCACTTTGGGATATGCTCTCCCACCCTCACGTGCAACGCGCGATTACTCCTCCCTATGTATGTATGTCCACACACACATGAAAATTGGTAAATTGTATGGGATGTGATATAATCACTTGTGCACTTTTGAGGTTTCCAGTGAAGCATATTTTTAGCCTTTTCGACAATTACAAGCTGGGCTGCATAGTAGGTTCTACGGATGATGGAATTCAACCTTTGTCTCAAAATCCTACTATTTATTTCCCCATTATATGGTAATTTGATGAAAACCTTCTTCTTAGGGACGGTATGGATTGTAGGTTTAGAGGCTAGTTGACTTCTACACCTGTTTAAAAACTTCAAAGGATATCCGTTTTCAACAAGAGTATCCATCAATATTTCGTTTTCCTTGTCTATAACATCAGGCGTGCAAATACGCTGAATCCTCTTAAATAGACACTTCACCAAGCCTCTCTTATATTGTAATGGACAGAAGCTGTGAAAATTAAGATATTGCCCTGTCCAAGTGGGCTTTCTGTAGATAGAACGTTTTATTGAGCCATCGTCTCTTCGACTCAGAAGTATGTCTAAAAATGCGAGCTGGTTGCGACTTTCTTCCTCGCATGTAAGACTAATATGATTCTGTACAGAGTTGAGTCTGTCCAATAGACGACTCGCATCTTCATGATCATCGCATATCAAAATGATATCGTCTACATATCTCCTATAGAAAGGCAGTTTAGAAATTAAATCAGAAGATAAGTTTTCAACATAAGACATAAAAACATCCGCTAATAAAGGTCCTAATGGACTCCCCATAGCAACACCATCCACTTGTCTAAAATGTTCACCTTCAAACGTGAAATGGACGTTATCAGTACACAATAGTAATAAATCTTTCAAATAAGTTAAAGGAAAAGGAAGTGAAAAACAACTAGAAGATATATAGTCACAAAGAATATCAACAGTCTTAACCAATGGTACATTAGTAAACAAAGAATTAACGTCAAATGAATACATTTTCCTATCTTTTATGTTCATATCTACAAGACAGTCAACAAGTTCAAATGTATCTTTTAAAGTAAACTTACATAATTCATTGCGCACTGGACTTAAAATATCAGCTAGCCATTTTGCTAATTTATGTGTAGGCGAGTTACACATTGAAAGAATTGGCCGTAATGGATTATCAACCTTATGAATTTTGGGTAATCCATAGAGGTTTGGAAAGTCAGATCCCATGGGTTTCAAGGAATTAAACTCCTGTTTGTCGATAACGTCCAAGCCACGAAGTTTTACTAAATGAGAATTTACTTTTCCTTCTAATTTTCTGATATCATCCGAAGGAACATCGGCTATGAATTTGCTTTTGTCACTAAGGATGGATAACATTTTTGTTTTGTAATCGCATCTG